TTTGTAACTACCCTGGTAGGTTGACTGATAACCTGAACCAGGTTGCAGGCACTAGTTACAGTTAGAAGCTTTTTCTTGAGTGGGCAGCTTGATGACAACCAGTCAATATTTAAATAATCTATGCAACAGCATCACCACTGCTACACTGTCAAGGGATCTACAGAGACTGTGCATATGAGTAAAACCTGAAATAAGGGCTTCTGCTAATGCTTCTTTAGCTCTTGATTACTTTAAAATGATCAGCAAGAAGACGCACAAACTCAAGGTGGAGATGTGCAGGTAGGCTGTAAAAACTATGTGCAGGATAAAACATATTAATCAGATACAATCTCAGTCACAGCTCAGCCAATCCACACAATGTCATCTTTAAGATTTAAGATAATTACACAGGAATGCCTATTTGACCCTGTGTTTATGATGGACTGTGTTTATGGAGGAAATATGACTCTAGGACGGTATAATTAGTTATTCACCAATGCAAGAGATACAGTAAATATGTTAGCTTTGGGATATTTATTTCAAAAATATTATTTGATTTTATTTCCTGTTTTCTAGTGTCATGTCTTGACTGAGCATTCTGGGTCAGACATGTAATTAGCATATGACCTCAATACAACAGCACAGCTTGGCCACAGATGATTAAAATTGATTTTTTTGTATGTTTATTTTCATGCCTGCTGTCATAAACTTGCTTCATCAAAATCAAAAAGCCTCTTGCAAGTCAGACAATATAGGTCAATAGCTGTGTTGCAACGGTAGTGTGTGTAACAAAATGCCATCTCTCTAGCTTATGTTTTGCATTTTTATGTAATAGAGCTGCATATGTGATACTCACAAGAGAAGGATACAACAGAATACAGATGAGGTACTGTATTCCAGTTAGAAAATAATGGATATTTAGTTAGAGAAGAAGTAAGGGGAAAATAGTGCAGAGTAAAAGTATACTGAATAAAAATATAAACACAACATGCAACAATTTCTAAGATTTTACTGAGTTACAGTTCATATAAGGAAATCAGTCAATTTAAAGAAATACATTAGGCCCTAATATATGGATTTCACATGACTGGGCAGGGGTGCAGCCATGGGTGGGCCTTGGAGGGCATAGGCCCACCCACTGGGGAGCCAGGCCCAGCCAATAAGAATACGTTTTTCCCCACAAAAGGGCTTCATTACAGACATCTTATCTTGGCAAAGGAGAAATGTTCACTAACAGGGATGTAAACAAATTTGTGCACAAAATTTGAGAGAAATAAGCTTTTTGTACGTATGGAACATTTCTGAGATTTTTTATTTCAGCTCATGAAGCATGGGACCAACACTTTACATATTGCGTTTATATTTTTGTTCAGTGTACAGTGCATTCAGAAAGTATTCAGACCCCTTGACATTTTCCACATTTTGTTACGTTACAGCCTTATTCTAAAATTGATTAAATTGTTTTTTCCCCTCATCTACACACAATACCCCATAATGACAAAGCAAAAACAGGTTTCTAGACATTTTTGAAGAAAAAAATACATATATATTTGAAATAGCACATTTACATAAGTATTCAGACCCTTTACTTAGTACTTTGTTGAAGCGCCTTTGGCAGCGATTACAGCCTCGAGTCTTCGTGGCTATGACGCTACAATCTTGGCACACCTGCATTTGGGGAGTTTCTCCCATTCTTCTCTGCAGATCCTCTCAAGTTCTGTCAGGTTGGATGGGGAGCGTCGTTCATCTTTCCCTCGATCCTGACTAGTCTCCCAGTCCCTGCCACTGAAAAACATCCCCACAGCATGATGCTGCCACCACCATGCTTCACTGTAGGAATGGTGCCAGGTTTCCTCCAGATGTGACGCTTGGCATTCAGGCCAAAGAGTTCAATCTTGGTTTCATCAGACCAAGGAATCTTATTTCTCATGGTCTGAGAGTCTTTAGGTGCCTTTTGGCAAACTCTAAGCGGACTGTCATGTGCCTTTTACTGAGGAGTGGCTTCCATCTGGCCACTCTACCATAAAGGCCTGATTGGTGGAGTGCTGCAGAGATGGTTGTCCTTCTGGAAGGTTCTCCCATCTCCACAGAGGAACTCTGGAGCTCTGTCAGAGTGACCATCGGGTTCTTGGTCACCTCCCTGACCAAGGCCCTTCTCCCCCGATTACTCAGTTTGGCCAGGCGGCCAGCTCTAGGAAGAGTTTTGGTGGTTCCAAACTTCTTCAATTTAAGAATGATGGAGGCCAGTGTGTTCTTGGGGACCTTCAATGCTGCAGACATTTTTTGGTATCCTTCCCGAGATCTGTGCCTCAACATAATCCTGTCTCGGAGCTCTTCCTTCGGCCTCATGGCTTGGTTTTTGCTCTGACATATACTGTCAACTGTAGGACCTTATATAGACAGGTGTGTACCTTTCCAAATCATGTCCAATCAATTGAATTTACCACAGGTGGACTCCAATCAAGTTGTAGAAACATCTCAAGGATGATCAATTGAAACAGGATGCACATGAGCTCAATTTCAAGTCTCATAGCAAAGGGTCTGAATAATTATGTAAATAAGGTATTTCTGTTTTTCATTATGGGGTATTGTGTGTAGATTGATGAGGAACATTTTTAATTTAAGCCATTTTAGAATAAGGCTGTAACGTAACACAATGTGGAAAAAGTCAAGAGATCTGAATAATTTCCGAATGCACTGTATATTCTCACTATATTTTTATGCTGTGTGCTATCTATGATTCATAAATGTATTTATTATTTTGACAAGTCACCAACTAACCATACCGAACCTACTGTCATTTAAGTATCCATTGTTATTAGAGCATTAGAACAATGCTGAAAGAATGACATTAAACATGCATGCCTTGTGATACATCTGGTCTAGCTTGAGTTGATTTAATCTAATCTTGTGTTGGAGAGCTCAGCAGCCCAGAGATCACTATCAATATGCATAACCGTTGGGCTTGTTCACAATGTGCACTGTGGCTGGTATGTTAATCACTTATACCAAAGCAGGCACATCTCTTAAAGGCCAGAATGACTTCTCGCTGCATTCACAATGTATAAAAACCTCCTTCAGACTAATATGGTCTCATAAATGATGTGTTACTGAAAACATGCTAGTTAACACATAGGGATCAACTGTAATACAAAGCGATCAATGTATGTAGTTCTGTCCTTGAGCTGTTCTTGTCTATTAATGTTCTGTATTATGTCATGTTTCATGTTTTGTGTGGACCCCAGGAAGAGTAGCTGCTGCTTTTGCAACAGCTAATGGGGATCCTAATAAAACACCAAATACCAATCAAATAGTCTTGAAAACCCAACCCTAGGCAACACAGTGACCAGGGTCTGGTTTCAATTATGAACTGTTTTGGCATAGAGGACTAATCATAGGGATCAACTGTAGCCTCCTGTCAACAGAGGTCCTCTTTGGTCCTCTTCAGTCTCTGTATAATAGCTAAATGACTCAAGCATTGTGGTTCATGTAGAAGAGCCGTAGTTCAAATTGTAAAGGTGACACATCACACTGTAGATACTGTAATGGTCTGGCTGTGGTTGGTGAGTTCATCTTGTGCCAGGACTTGATTTAGGCTACTTGTCACGGCAGAGTGGAAGATAAGTCCTCTGGGATGAGAGGAGGATAGGGTAGGAGGAGGGCAGCAGCAGCTCTGTCAAGGGAAAGTTCAGTAGGTTCAGCAAGGACACTTGTGAAGCAGCAGACTGCCACTGCCTGAGAGGAATGGCAGTTGTGTTTTAATGGTTCATCAATAAAACAATGTAATCCTGTCATACGTAACATGGCACTGTCAAAAAACATGCTTGTCACACTGAAACTGCCCACTAAACATCTCCATTCGCCAGATGCACTGAGGATTTAATGTACATTAGGCACTGTGTATAAGGCACTCGCACAAATTGTCTTCAGAATATATTGTCTTCATCTTGGAATACACATTTTCTCAGCAGAGGAGTAAATAGAATGTGTTTGTGCGTGTAATGAAGTAGATTTATTGACCTTTGTTGTAACTTTGGCTCTGTATGTTTGTCTTTTGTCTGCAATCAGCCACATTAGTAAGTGTGCCATGCTCCTAAGTAACAGCACTGCTCCAGCGTTGATTCTATTTCCCTGCTGGCTGTAAAGCAGTAGATTAGTCCAAAGCTATTGGAGGAAGTGCAGTGCTTTAATTGAGTGTGAGAATGATATCATTCCTCTTTCACTCCACAGGCCGTGGCCTCACTTACAATCACCAGGACTTCCTGGGATAGGAAGTGGTTGTACTATAATCACTTCAATGGGGATAACTATTTCATAGACCCTCTCTGTGGGTTATACTGTAGTATTCACTGTGATCCCTATGATGGTTTGGTTTTGAGATATTTAGTAACTTAAGTTTAATTAGCTTGTATGTGGTAATTCCCTTTTGTCTAAGGTATACATAATAAGACTTTTAAAATAAGCACAAATAATGTTCTCATGCTGGATTTGTCACTTCTTGGAGATTTTACTGATAATGTCGATGTTGTGAACCACACAATGTTTTCTCCTGTGGTTTGAAGCCTTGTGCCCATTAATCTGACTGGGTTATTGTGCTGTGCCTGAAATCAAATCTTTCTCTTCCTCTCCCTGCCCCTCTCTCTCCTCTTTATTCTCTCACTCACTCACTCGCTCGAACTCTCTCCCCCCTCCCCTCCCCCTCCCCTTCACCATTCTCGCTCCCTCAGCATCTCTCTCTTTCTCTCTCTGTCTCTTTCTTCCCTCCCTCCCTGGCTCATGCTGGTAAAATGATCTGCAGACAGCAGGAGCAGAGGCACGCCTGACTCTCTCTCAGACATCCCACCCATGTGATCTCACAGGCTACCTCCCTCTGCTCCAGTCAGGCTCCAGCCTTTCAGCCGGCAGCAGCGTCTGTGAGTCTTTGTGTGGTTAGGGTGAATAAGAGAGAGAGAAGGGAGGAAGGAAGAGGGAGAGTTAAAGAGAGGCGCCTATTGTCATTTAACAATAAAGCATATGGTACCGGCAGTGGCAGTCAGGGCTGGGAAATTTACAAGTCTCTGTGTGACTCCCTTTCCCTCCCGCTCACCCGGTTCTCATGCCCTCAGAGTACTGGGGTCGCAGCAAGTCAGTGGACTAAAGCAAAATGGGAGCCTATCATTTATCATGTTTCACCTCTTTTTAAGTGCTTCGTTTAGATTTTACTCCAAAGTGTCACGTTAAGAAAGGGGGCCATATGAGTCGGAACACGCCAGTGGACACAGGTCAGTCGTTTCTTTCAGGGCTGGCACAAAGTGCACTGTTATGTATTCTTTTGCAGGGCTGATGTGTGATGACTTGCTACATATATTGGGACTTGTTGGTATTACTTGGGAACGAGAGCTTTCATTGTAACTCTCTCTGTATAGCAGATCTGCAGTGTGAGGCTTGTGTGTCACCTCTGTGTACAGTGATTTGTGAACCTTATGGGAAACATGATCTGTTTTGATTCAGAATATACGTGTGTCACATAGGACTGTGGACGCAGTTCATAAAGGTTGGTTTGTACAGTGCATGTGTGTGCGCTCAGTGAAGCCAGCACAGGGAGGGGCTTTGCAAGCAGGCTTTTGCTGCATTATTTCCTCCCAGCATTTTCTCTTGCACCATGGTGTATGCCCAGCCTAGCCATGATTAGTTGGAACACAATAGTGGAGAAGACAAAGAAATGTAGAGGAGGAACTAGCTCTGCTCTCTGGCTTGTGCTGCTAAGCCCTGAAGAAGTGGAGTCTGCTTACATTAACCACTGAGTTGCATTTGATGTCATACCTATTATTCACTGTGTCAGTGAGATGTTACTCTATCCAGATGGATCTGTCTATTTTAGGACAGCTACAATATGAGATAAGACTTATATCATAATCCTTGTTCATACAGAAAAGGATATGCATTGATTTGGATTCTGAATGTAGCTATAACCATCGTATTCCATTATTCTTAATTGTGTGATTGCCTCAAATCTACCTCTTTAATCTATATTGTGGTAATGTGTTGTCAGATGTAGTGCTACTATGATATTTATGTTTCACAGCCATGAAGATTGAAGCAGAATCACTTTCAGACATTAAATCACTATTTGTGCTAGGATGTTGGCATCTCCATGGAAACCACTTTGGCTATCAAAGCATATTGCAGCATCCGCTGAGGGCTAAGAATACGAATGGATTTCCAACAATGGGGAACTCATTACAATTATTACAAAATAGACTTGGGCCATCCCATGTGTAAAATGGAACTAAAATGTCTGTACTATTTTGTGTTCTTCCTGAATTACAGTGAGGATTGTCCAACTGCCCATTTGGACAACTGTAGAAAAGGAGGTACTAAGCCTCTAATGCGTTAAAAAATGTCATTCCATTGGTTATAGGCTACATAAAAATTTATTTGCGTTCAGGCAGTCCCTGATAGCTGCATTATTTGATGCTAAATGATAAGGGCCAGTGACCATTTTAGACTGATTCAATATTTCATCAATGGTACCAACAGGAAACGCTGATATGTTTTGGTTCAAAGTATGTAGAGTTTGTTTTAATCCTTAAGTGGCCGAGCTACAGCGGTGTTTGTCAGAACATGAGATATCCCGAAAATCGGTCTTCTCACGACAACGTCTGGGCTACAAACTAATATGACCACTCTATGGATAGATGAGACTCTCACTTGACACAAGTGTCACGGAACTCGTCTGAAGGTAACCGGTACCGGTTTAAAAAAAATAATGGAAGTATGGAGGTAGTGTGCCCCAAAATAAAAGGGGTTAAATCATTAGCTGTCTTATATCTGCCAGATATAGGAAATACACTTCAAAACCTTATTCCTTATGATTTATTTTTTAACTGTCTGTTTTGCCATTTATGAATGTGTTATTAAATGCATTTCTATGGTCTATAGTAGTAATGGTTAATATTTGTTTTCAATACCTACAGGGGTCCTAAAATTCAAAACCAAACAAACAATTCCATATGTTAGCTTTAGTGTATTTGAATGATTGGTCTACTATGCAGAGGGACAGACAATCATTTAAAGGGGTGTCCTGATGCCAAACATTGAACATTCCACAGCACTAGGTACTGTAGTTTACGTTGGATCTCCTCCAGGTGCAAGCAGACCCATGTCACAGTACAACCACAGACACTGGGGAACAATGGTCCTTTGGCAGCGACGTGATTTCTCTCCAGGTTCCACCACATTGGATACATCCCAAACAGCACCTTATTCCCTATATAGTGCAAAAGTAGTGCACAATATAGTGAATAGATTGCCATTTGGGATGTATATGAAAGTAGTGCACTACATAGGGACGCATACACTGTCTCTGAGGCAGCAGCAGTATTTGCATGTGTAATGAGTTGATAGCAGAGAGCGGCTCCAGATGAAACAGCACCTCTCTCTGAATGGAACTCCAACATAAGCTGCTCAGGCTGATACTGGGACGAGAGTGAAGCTGAACACTGTTTCTTTGTTTCCGTGTCAAAAAACAAAGAGGAGTATACCAGTTACATTGACGGCTGTGCCATACAGATTGCAAAATAGTTGGGAAGAGAGTTCCGATGTACCGATTCCATGGCACATATATATATGGTGGACACAACCATCCCAGCTCTGCAGATTTTGCTGCGAAGAGACAGAATCATTAGATCATTTGTTTTGGTAATATCCATATGTAGCTTGTTTTTGGTCGCAGGTTCAGGAATGGCTGAAGAATTGCAACATTTACATGGAGTTAACTCTGCAAATAGCACTGCTGGGTGATCTGAAAAGTCATAGTCAATCTATCAATAATATAATAATACTCTTAACAAAAATGTTTCATTAATTTACAATCTGTAGAAACTATGAGAATAGAAATGTTCAGAACTTTCGTGAAACATCACAGCACAGTTGAAAAATATATGGCAAATAGAAATCAAAACTGGATGGTGTTCAGCGATAGATGGAAGGGGTTGAGGGTAGCTGAAGGATGGGACTAAAAACAAACAAAAGATAACTAATGTAAAATATAATGTAAAATATACTGTGTCCGTAAAATGTATATATTATGTATAAGCTGGAAGTAGAAGCCTAAGTGTTGTTGTCAATTAGTTTACTCCAGTTAGGGGAGGGGTGGTAGGGTTAGTGGAAAATAATAAAGGAAAATATATTTTTAAAGAATATATATATTTAAAAGAATATATATATATATATATATATATATATATATATATATATATATATATATATATATATATATATGGGGGATTGGAAATGATGCAGACAATTATATTGATAGAATCCACAATCTATTTGCAATATTAAAGCTGATCCACCCCCTAAACATAAAAAATAAAGAGTCGGAGAGAACATGCCAGTCATGCTCCGCTAGCTCTGCTAGGTATCTAATGGCATTATATGTGTTAGAAGATGGCATCCCACGTCATGTAGTAAGAGAACCAAATGCCAGACTCTTGTTGTCACATACACTACATCAATAAACTGTATTTAGGGCCATGCATTAAAATAATTGCAACTTGATTACTGATACAAACAATGGCTGGCTGAAGACGTGGTGATGGAAATATGGAGAATGATTTGTGGAGGAAAGGCAACAAGTTCCAACAACACATCGTTTGACAGTTACAATTCAACACTTATTACAATCAGTAGCCTAATTTGGCACTTACAGTAGTATTTGTGCAGCTGACTGACGAACCTGGTCTTGTTTTGATTTGTTTAATTACACCATCAGTCAGAGTTTAATGGCTGTCACTGGTGCCTGTTCTCCACTGGCCTGTCATGAAGTGGTCTACTGTGTAGTGGCATTGGGGAGGATGAGGGACTCGGTCTGCGTCCCAAAGTCCCAAATGGCACCTTATTGCTAATGTTACCTTTTCCCTTCAGAAAGTATTCACACCCCTTGATCTTTTTCCACATTTTGTTGTGTTACTGCCTGAATTTAAAATGGATTCAATATAAATGTTGTGTCACTGGCCTACCACAATACCCCATAATGTCAAAGTGGAATTATGTTTTTAGATATTTTTTTTTACAAATGAATAAAAAATGAAAAGCTGAAATATCTTGAGTCAATAAGTATTCAACCCATTTGTAATGGCAAGCCTAAATAAGTTCAGGTGTAAATATTTGCTTAACATGTCACATAATAAGTTGCATGGAATCACTCTATGTGCAAATATAGTGTTTATAATTCTTTTTTAACGACTACCCCATCTCTTTACCGCACACATACAATTATCTGTAAGGTCCGTCAGTCGAGTAGTGAATTTCAAAAACAGATTCAACCACAAAGACCAGGGAGGTTTTCCAATGCTTCGCAAAGAAGGGCACCTATTGGTAGATGGGTAAACATTTTAAAAGTAGACATTGAATATCCCTTTGAGCATGGTGAAGTTATTAATTACACTTTGGATGGTGTATCAATACACTCAGTCACTACAAAGATACAGGCGTCTTTCCTAACTCAGTTGCCGGAGTTGAAGGAAACCGCTCATGGATTTCACCATGAGGCCAATGGTGACTTTAAAACATTACATGCTGTGATAGGAGAAAACTGAGGATGTGTCAACAACATTGTAGTTACACAACAATACTAATCTAAGTGAAAAGAAGGAAGCCTCTACAGAATAAAAATATTCCTAAACATGCATCCTGTTTGCAATAAGGTACTAAAGTAAAACTGCAAAAAATGTAGCAAAGAAATGTCCTGAATACAAAGCGTTATGTTTGGTGCAAATCCAACACAACACATCACTGAGTATCACTCTTCATATTTTCAAGCATGGTGGTGGCGCCATCATCCTATGGGTATGCTTGTCATCGGCAAGGACTAGGACATTTTTTAGGATGAAAATAAATGGACTAGAGCTAAACCTGGTTCAGTCTGCTTTCCAACAGACACTGGGAGACAAATTCACCTTTCAGTAGGACAATAACCTAAAACACAAGGCCAAATATATACTGGAGTTGCTTACCAAAACGACATTGAATGTTCCTGAGTGGCCTAGTTACAGTTTTGATTTAAATTGGCTTGAAAACCTATGGCAAGACCTATGGCATGAAAATAGCAGTCTAGCAATGACAACAACCAACTTGACAGTGCTTGAAGAATGTTAAAAATAATCATGTGCAAATATTGTACAATCCAGTTGTGCAAAGCTCTTAGAGACTTACCCAGAAAGACTCACAGCTGTAATGGCTGCCAAAGGTGATTCTAACATGTATTGACTCAAGGGTGTGAATACTTATGTAAATTAGATATTTCTGTATTTTATTTTCAATTTATTTGCAAACATTTCTAAAAATATGTTTTCACTTTGTCATTATGGGGTATTGTGTGTAGATGGATGAGGGGGGAAAATCCATTTTGAATTCATACTGTAACACAACCAAATGTGGAATAAGTCAAGTGGTATGAATACTTTCTGAAGGCACTGTAGTGCATTACTTTTGACCGGTGCCCTATGGGCCGTGGTCAAAAGTAGTGTACTATATAGGGAATAGAGTGCCATTTGGGAAGAAACCAGGGTCTTTCCTCAGTCTCTATGACTCTGGCAGCTATTAAACACTCTGACCCCTTTATTCACCCAATAGCACTTTACAGCCCTCTGGGTGCTCCTCCCGGTCCATTTGACATTTTTCACTTTCTTTCTTTTATAGAGGGTATAACCATGTCAGTCATAATTTCCTCCTAACCACTATAAACTGTCTTCAGTCATGCCCCAGATTGGAACCCCTCTAGGGAGCACTGAATGTGCAACATTACACATTTTACAAATCACTATTTTATTCATGCACACACGCATGGCCACACGCACACACATTCACGTGTGCATGCACATGCACATGCACACCTAGACACATTCAGGCATATTTAAATTCACTGCATATCCCAGGATAAGTAAAGCTGTAGTCAAGCTTTTTAAATTTCCCATAAGATGAAAATTAATTAATTTTGAAGCCAAGGGATATTTTCAATCAGTAGCCGGCTGGATGCATGCATTGTGTTTTTGAGGTGCAACAGCAATTAAGTACAGTCACATTATGTTTTGAATTTTCATATGCTGCTGTGGGCAGATATTACCATCCTTCTTTGGGCGGTAACGTCTCATTTCATTTTTGCCCCATGTTGTTATTTTGTGATAAAAATATTCAGCCAGTGTTTTTATGAATACCATCAGGAATACAGGGCAGAGGAAACAAAATCTCACTCCAGTGTCCCTTTTCTGTCGCCGCTCAATCAAAGACAGCAGAATGAACGTCCTGTGAGGTAGACGTAGCATGCAATTAGCATCCTTCGCCTCGCATCCAAGCTTTGTGGCACGGTGATCAATTGCCTGGGGACCATCGGGTTGGTAGTGACGGCAGGGGAGGTGGTGGCGGGGGGACCTGGGCAGCAGGAGGGGGGTGTTGTGTTCTGTGGCTTACTGCTAATTGACTGTTGAGGAGGACTGTGGAGGCCAGCGGGACCTAAACTGGGCATTAAATAATGTGCACCCTTCCTTGTGCTGGCTGTTGCAGGTGCAGCGGCGGAGACAGAGAGGAGGGCCATGAGTGGAATACTGAAGAGGAAGTTTGACGAGGTGGAGGCGTCCTCCTCGCCGTGCTCTTCCTTGCGGGAGTCTGATGACGAGGTCTCCTGCAGCGAGAGCGGAGACAGCAGTGACAGTGTCAACCCTTCAGCCTCGGGCCCCTTCACTCGTGAGTCACCCGTGAGCACACACACACACACACACACACACACACACACACACACACACACACACACACACACACACACACACACACACACACACACACACACACACACACACACACACACACACACACACACACACACACACACACACACACACACACACACACACACCACACACACACACACACACACACACACACACACACACACACACACACACACACACACACACACACACACACACACACACTGCTCTCTCCCGCTATACATATGCTCAACACTGACACAGTCTGACACGAACAAACAAAAAGCTACATGCGTTGTTCATATTGTACTTAGTGAAAGAGACATCTTTTTGAATGAAGCATGTGTCATTCAGATGATACTTCTCTATCATAATTGTTGCTTCTAAAATGAATGTTGAGTGTATTAGGAAACAGCATGACAGTAACACTTTGTAATTGTGATGACTGTTATTCTAAGTGCTGAAGCACAATACAACCCTCGGGTAGAAATATCATTCAGATAACTCAGTTGAAGAGGAAAATAAAAAAGCTGCATCAATCGGTGTGCTTTAAAAGAGGAGAAGAGACACAATCCATGGCATTGTGTGAGCTGAACTGGTGTCTGTGTGGACAGCTGAGTAGCCATAAGGACGGCTGGATGGACTGTTCTGAGCTGGGTTGGTGTAGCTGGGCTGTAATAAAGGAGAATTAATGCAGTGGAGCAGCAGTACAACAGTCTCTCATTAGGCACAGTACAGTACAGCCAGATGAATGAGCTGATGCTCTCCAGTCTCTAGCACTGTGCAAAGCCAGTGGTGTGTCTGGCAGGCTCTGAGAAGCTATCAGTTGAGTAAACCTGTCCTCTGTCCCACAGCTGCTCACCGGAGAGGCTTCAGTCAGTTTGGCAGGCACCTCTGATGGTGCCACTGATAAAAAAAGACCTGTGTTTTAGATTACCTGTATTTTTCGATGAGCAAATATGATGTTATTGGTAGGCAACCTGGGGAAAAATTGGTGGATTGTCAGTGGTTGGTTCCTCAGGTGACAGATCTATGTTGTGTTTGGGGACAGACGGATACAGTAACCCTGCCCTGGTTTATTGTGGGTGTGAGTGACAGGGCTCCTCCCTGTGTTGTGTGTGCATGCCAGAGGAGGCTGGTGGGAGGAACTATAGGAGGACGGGCTCATTGTAATAGCTGAAAAGGAAATAAATATAACGGTATCAAACATATGGAAACCATTTATTCCATTCCAGCCATTACAATGAGGCCGTCCTCCTAAAGCTCCCCCCACCAGCCTCCTCTGGTGTGCGTACATACAGTGGGGAAAAAAAGTATTTAGTCAGCCACCAATTGTGCAAGTTCTCCCACTTAAAAAGATGAGAGAGGCCTGTAATTTTCATCATAGGTACACGTCAACTATGGATTTTTAATGAATTTATTTGCAAATGATGGTGGAAAATAAGTATTTGGTCACCTACAAACAAGCAAGATTTCTGGCTCTCACAGACCTGTAACTTCTTCTTTAAGAGGCTCCTCTGTCCTCCACTCGTTACCTGTATTAATGGCACTTGTTTGAACTTGTTATCAGTATAAGACACCTGTCCACAACCTCAAACTGTCACACTCCAAACTCCACTATGGCCAAGACCAAAGAGCTGTCAAAGGACACCAGAAACAAAATTGTAGACCTGCACCAGGCTGGGAAGACTGAATCTGCAATAGATAAGCAGCTTGGTTTGAAGAAATCAACTGTGGGAGCAATTATTAGGAAATGGAAGACATACAAGACCACTGATAATCTCCCTCGATCTGGGGCTCCACGCAATGATCACAAGAACGGTGAGCAAAAATCCCAGAACCACACGGGGGGACCTAGTGAATGACCGGCAGAGAGCTGGGACCAAAGTAACAAAGCCTACCATCAGTAACACACTACGCCGCCAGGGACTCAAATCCTGCAGTGCCAGACTTGTCCACCTGCTTAAGCCAGTACATGTCCAGGCCCGTCTGAAGTTTGCTAGAGTGCATTTGGATGATCCAGAAGAGGATTGGGAGAATGTCATAAGGTCAGATGAAACCAAAATATAACTTTTTGGTAAAAACTCAACTCGTCGTGTTTGGAGGACAAAGAATGCTGAGTTGCATCCAAAGAACACCATACCTACTGTGAAGCATGGGGGTGGAAACATCATGCTTTGGGGCTGTTTTTCTGCAAAGGGACCAGGACGACTGATCCGTGTAAAGGAAAGAATGAATGGGGCCATGTATCGTGAGATTTTGAGTGAAAACCTCCTTCCATCAGCAAGGGCATTGAAGATGAAACGTGGCTGGGTCTTTCAGCATGACAATGATCCCAAACACACCGCCCGGGCAACGAAGGAGTGGCTTCGTAAGAAGCATTTCAAGGTCCTGGAGTGGCCTAGCCAGTCTCCAGATCTCAACCCCATAGAAAATCTTTGGAGGGAGTTGAAAGTCCGTGTTGCCCAGCGACAGCCCCAAAACATCACTGCTCTAGAGGAGATCTGCATGGAAGAATGGGCCAAAATACCAGCAACAGTGTGTGAAAACCTTGTGAAGATTTACAGAAAACGTTTGACCTGTGTCATTGCCAACAAAGGGTATATAACAAAGTATTGAGAAACTTTTGTTATTGACCAAATACTTATTTTCCACCATCATTTGCAAATCAATTCATAAAAAATCCTACAATGTGATTTTCTGGATTTTTTTTCCTCATTTTGTCTGTCATAGTTGACGTGTACCTATGATGGAAATTACAGGCCTCTCTCATCTTTTTAAGTGGGAGAACTTGCACAATTGGTGGCTGACTAAATACTTTTTTTCCCCACTGTACTTGTGTACGTGTTTGTGTGCGTCCATACGTGTGTGCGTGTTTGGGGGCGGGGGGGGGGGGGGGGGGGGGGGGGGGGGGGGGGGGGTGCGGTATCAGGGACCAGGGTGCTGTTTCCCCAGACTACTGAGCCTTCTGTGTCAGCTGCTGCAGATAAAGTCAACCAGGAGGACGTTACTCTAAACCAAGGGAATCAGAGAGCTGTTCACCATGTAGCACAGCACATAGCTCCATCAGCTTCTCCCCACTAAAGAGGTGTCACACTGTGTTAGGTGTGGTGCTGAGATGTACAGTAGCATTGTTGCCTGGAGAATACAGTACAACTCCGTCTTGGGTCGCGTTAGTGTTGGAGAAATAATCCAGCTCCTCTCCTTGTGTGATTGCGTTTACTGGAGCATCACAAAGCCTTGGAATCTCTGAATCCGAATCGTGAGGTCTTTGAAAAGTGCTTCTATGTATTCTCACAGATATATTTTTAGAACTACATGGGCGTAGCAACCCTAATATCACAAGAAGCTAGAAAATGGACGGACAAGAAATAGGAAGAAATACAGAGATATCTAACTCTGTTACGTATTGCAAGCTTGAAAATGACTTCTGCATGTAATTGCTTTCTTATTCAGTAAAACCACATGGATACCCAAAACAAAGTCTGATAAACCTTCTTTGGGAGACAATAAAGCGAAATCTCAATCAACAAGGCCAGACTGGTGCTGCCATGCCTGTAATGAATGCATTGTCCTTATGGCACAGGGTGGAGTGCTGCTGGAACCAGATGGTTCCCATTTGTCCTGTTTTTCTGACATCAAGTGAGCGCTGGGAAAGCTGTGCTCAACCACTCCAGATCCGAGCCAGGAGGGGGATTATTTATGCTCTCTGTCTTTGCTTCCCCCCCCCCCCCCCCCCCTTCCCTCCCTCCCTCCCTCTCATATAACAGTCCTTAAAAAGCCACACGTAGGACTGACATGCCAAATGGCAGCGTTGGGATGATGAAACATTGCTCTACTAAGCTGGGTTGAGTTAGAGGACGTCCCTGTTGTCTGAGTGCTAGCAAAAAGACTCCTGAGGTTAATTAAAAATCAAATAAAAACAGGCATTAAAATCATGCAAATCGTAAGCAAGCAGACTAGCGTTTTATCTTGTAATAGTATGGCTACACGCCTACACCATTGAGATCACATCATGGTGAGCAACAACAAACAACTCTTTCCTATGTACATGATGCCGATTTAAATAAGTGCTTTCTCTTAAAACAGTGTCCTTGTTCTTGTATGCTGTAAAGGGGGTTACATCTAGATTTTTCTCATACTGGTGATTCTCTTTCTTGATTTACAATTGGCTATTCTTTCCACCACATCGAACTGGTTAATCTTTCATCCATGTATGAACCAATAACCCTGCTTTCCCTATTATTTATATGTATGAAAAAGCGAGCTATCACCAGCTTCCTTTCACCATCTTCTCCCCTTGTCTTTTGACTCTGTAGCTGATTCTATACTGAAGAGGGAGAAGCGTGTGAGAACGAGGAGGGTGCATTTTGACAATGTGACGGTATACTACTTCAGCCGGCGCCAGGGCTTCACCAGTGTGCCCAGTCAGGGAGGCAGTACTCTGGGCATGTCCAACAGACACAGCTGTGTCAGGCAGTACTCCCTGGGAGAGTTTGCCCTGGAGCAGGAGAGGATCCACAGAGACATGCTCCGAGACCATCTGAAGGAGGAGAAACTCAACTCCATTAAACTCAAGGTATTATGGAAACGGAAGCAACTGAGCTACTGAAATGTACTGTAAACAGGGAGAGGAGATAATGCATCATGATACACAGACGGTACTAGACTATACTTAAGCAATAAGGCCCGAGGGGGTGTGGTATATATATGCTGTGGCCAATATGCCACAGCTAAGGGCTGTTCTTATGCATGATGCAACGCGGAGTGTCTGGATACAGCCCTTAGCCATGGTATATTGGCCATATACCACAAACCCCCAAGATGCCTTATTGCTATTATTTTGTCATACCCGTGGCATATGGTCTGATATACCAAGGCTGTCAGCCAATCAGCATTCAGGGTTTGAACCATCCAGTTTATAAATACAGTTATGACATATTGTATCCTTTTATAAATATAGAATGTTACATGTTTTCAACTGCTCACTCTGTATCCTCTTCCGAGAAGCAGCATGTCATTGGTTTCAGCTGGTTCAAACCGGACTGAATTTGATCCCTTCTCATTTCTTTTCAGCTGACTAAGAACGGTACAGTGGAGTCGGAGGAGGCCAACACGCTCATGGCGGACGACATCTCTGACGATGACATTGATTTGGACAACACCGAGGTGGACGAGTACTTCTTCCTCCAGCCCCTCACCACTAAGAAGCGCCGGGCTCTGCTGCGGACCTCTGGGGTGAAGAAGATTGACGTGGAGGAGAAGCACGAACTGCGGGCCATCCGGGTGTCCAGGGAGGACTGCGGCTGCGACTGCAGAGTGTTCTGTGACCCAGAGACCTGTGCATGCAGCGTAGCAGGAATCAAGTGCCAGGTAAATCCCTGGGTAGTCTGACCATACTGTACACTCTCTCATATTGACACTGATGTGTCACTCTATCCGCTCTGGAATTAAGCCCCATAAGCAGTCCCTAGTCTTGAGGCAAATGCATTTTAATAGAAGGATGTATTTTAGACATTGTAGATGAAAGCACTGTATCATTTACAGTAGCTTATCTGACATTGCCAAAATTCTACATTAATTAATCTATTACATGCAAACTGCAGAATATATGGTCATATAACTCAAGGTGGTCCAATCTACAGGTGGACCGCATGTCTTTTCCCTGTGGCTGTACCAAGGAGGGCTGTAGCAACGCGGCCGGCAGGGTGGAGTTTAACCCCATCCGCGTGCGGACCCACTTCTTGCACACCATCATGAAGCTAGAGCTGGAGAAGAGCCGGGAGCAGCAGCAGGCATCCCCTGCCAACGGTTACCATGGCGAAAGCAACGGCTATGTCAACCCGCTGGTCCAGACCCAACACAGTCTGGAATACTCTCTGTCAGACCCAACAGTCCAACAGTCTGACATCATGCACCTCCAGACAGCTGACGACATGGACGAGCCTCTGGATGATGAAGATGAAGATGAGGATGAGGAGGAGAATGAGGAAGATGAGGAGGATGAAGAGGACAGCAGCAGTTTATGCAGTGGACTGTCTGACTCAAGCACTCAGAGCTTGGCGAACAGTGACTCTGAGGAAGAGGATGGTGATGAGGAGGACAAGTCGGAGGACTTTGAGAATGGAGTCACCACGCCGCCTGTCGCCAACACTGAGGTTGTCCCCCTGTCCTCCGTGTTGTGTTACTCTGACGGCACTGTGCCACACGACAACCACATTGACGACGTCATGAATGGAAACTCTTATTTATTCAGCTCCCCAGCAGATTATTATCAGCTGGAGAACCCCAGTGCTGTTGCCTCAGCCAACGGGACAGCCAGCCAACCCAGTGAACCCTACGGAGAGGCCTTATCATTCCCACACACTGTAAGCACTACTAACGGTACCATGCCACAAGGACCATTTAACATGGCCGTCGACATTGCAGAGCAGTACACAGATTACCCCCACCAGGCTGAGGAACAGTACACCAATCAGCACTTCACCCTGACCAATGGCACAGCAGCAACCACTGCCATGGGCTGCTGCACACCTGACCTAGAGAACAACATGGTCCTGTCTAAAGGAACATACCCTGAGCAGCCTGGGGGCCTCAGCCAGATGGAGTTCCACAACAACTACCTGAACAATAAGAAGTGTTTTGTGGCAGAGCAGCCAAAGGAAGTGTCTAGCGTTAAGGGTCTGTCTGAAGGGCCTTCTTTAGCAGACAGTACAAAGATCCCTGCATTAGCAGAGAATCTCCCCCAGGTCGCACCAGTTTAGTGGGCCTAGCTCACCTGTCCGTGTAGGCTTCATGTTGTCTTTTCTTAATGAACAAGGCTGACCAAGTGTTATTTATGGATAATATATTCATGGCCTTTAATGGGAACTAAACTTTTCAAGTCATTTACAAGACCATACATTAGATGTACATTATTTAGCTACAGGTTCCATGATGAGAAACATTTCTAATGAATCCTGATTTCTAGTATTCTAAACTGCAAGATGGAATCAGTCAACAAAAACTGAGAGCTGTAAGCCTGTGCAATGTATCTTGTAATTTTAAAGGTAAAGTTCTAGTTTTAAGCATATATTGTGAATTGAACTTTTCTATGTCTATGTGTCAAATGTGCAAAAAATGAATTGTCCCAGTTTATTTATTGGTTCTGAAGTATGTGTATACTTATAAATGGTTTGATATTTATAATTGCATGTTATTTGGGGTCTTTCAATGGCATTTATGAGGAATTGACCATGTTCAATTTGGGTTTATAAAATCTGTATTAATGTACTGTACAAACCTTATTATTGTGCTGTCACAGACTACAACTTTTAGTTATTTATTTTGAATTATAATGCCAAGAGCATTATTTCATCAGCGACATTGAAGACAAAATGATTCACAGCTGTTTGCACCTTTGTGAAGGTGATAGACTAATGCAGCACTTTGACATTAATCTCTCAAAGATCATATACAACTATCAAATCTATGGGAACAGGATAATAATATGATCAATAAATAATATTTTATGGGGCTTCATTTAAAATAAATGTCAATAAAAAATATGTAACTCTTAAAAACTGGGGACAACATTGGTATTGCTGAGTTAGACAGGATATATTTAGATCAACATTCCATTCTCTTATGACAACTGACAGTAAATACATGAAGGGATTGTTTGTACAGATACAAACATTATTGTGACGCAATTATTAAAGTGTGCAATAGTAACAACAAAAGTTACATGTTCAAACTATCACTATATGTCATACTCTTGAGAGCCACATCAGTATCATGCATGAAATGCAGATATCAGTTATTGTAAAAAAAAAAGTATAAAAAGGTTGTAATCAAAGGTTAAATCATGCCAACGATTCCTATCAGCACCATGTTAAAGAATGACTGATCAGCACGAGTGATTGGTAGGAAAGTATAATTTGCCAAAAATCTGTAAATAACTTTGACATCCTTGAAATAACTTACAAGGAAAGCCATTGAACTAAATGCACCAGATATGTATTGCTTCAACTGTATTGAAATGTTAGGGACAGCAGTGATTCAAAACAGCCTTTACAATTCAATACCAACATTCCCTCCCTAAATTCCCTCACCATAAAATGAGTGGGCACCCCTGCATGTATCCCTGTCCTCTGCGAAGCCTAGAGTGTGAATAGTCATCCAACATGCTCATACACTCCTGTATATGATTACTACTTGATTTGGGATTCTGCTCCTGACTCCTCACTGAGGTGAGTAATAATGTCACCTCAGTGGCAAAGTAAAGTGTATCTAGCTGTCAGGGAATCAGTGCCACTGTATTAGTATGACCTATACAGTATCAGTGCCAAAGCATTTAAGAGAAGGCAACATACAGTGACATTGTATCCAGTTGAGTCATTCTGCTGTGTTTATGATTTTCAGTATTTATTATGAATGATATATTGAAATTTGTATTTATTGTGGTTTACTGAACAGTCTGTATTGAATAAAAACATGTTTTGGTCTTACATTTCACTTGTTTTATGATGGTTGTGAATTGTACAGCTTCATGTGCCTGATTTCATTTTGTTGCTTACTTTAATGTTTGCTTCTGTGAAACAGAATACTTTTTGCCCAAAATGGTATAAATGTTTCAATATGTGTTTTTGGTTTCTTAACATTAGATAAAGCCAAAATGTTTTGTTTTTGTTGTGTTTCTGCTTTTTAACAATACATTACTTAAAAATAAAATGAAATGAAACCATGTGTTACTTTTCTTCATATGTTTAATGATTTTAGCTTGAACAAATCTTTCTGTAAAAAAAATTAGAATAATCTGCTGTACATGGCAACGACTGAAGTCCCAGTAATATGGACAAGGAGGAATTATTTTGTGCACAGTGCCCCCTCCTGTTGAACATAAAAAGTGGTGCTCTGCGCCAACTGAAGAATGGCACTCAGGACAAGAGTTCCTTTGACTGAAATGGAAAACCTCAAGTATCCAAATATAATGCGCACTCACGAGGGCATTTGGTTCTAGATCCAGACATATCCCTAAATTCAACAACATTTTAACATTCCATTGTCAGTCAACACTCTGACACAAACATAGATCTGTATAAACTGGGCCACATCCTTGCATCAAAACACTGATGTTTGTGTCATACTGGGAGCTCTTTGAGACTTGAATCAAAACTACAATCATATATTCCATGTTGTAAACTAAGTTTAAAATGTTTCCCTTTCTACAGATCCCATTTTAGCCTACATATATAAAAAAATTGCAATCCCCATGAACATGATACAAAAACACAAAATATTTTTCTAAATGTGTTGTCAAATATAGAAAATCACATTACAAAAGAACTAAACTATCCATTGTACATCTCAAAGTATTTTTTGTTAAGATGTGTCAACCTTGCATTATTCCCTAAAACCCTGACATCTAAAACAGTTTTCTTCATTCGATATTTTGCTAAAAGTACCTGGGGGCCGGGGCCCAAGAAAAATCCAGCTATTCTTGTATAGAGATAAAGAAAAAGTACAAATAAAAAGATCATGCAGTCTAACTGTACACAACAGACATTTCAAATTCCACCTCTGTGACTGTGGAATTGTGTTTGAAAATGCTATGTTGCTAAAGCCTGCCCCAAAAGGTAAACATTATACTTATGCTCAAAACACCTCTGAACACCCCATCAAATCAGTACGTAAAAGCAAAAGAAAATATGACTTATCTTGCAAATACCGTATTATTATGAATTAGGGGTGACAAATATAACAGTACCACATGACTCAAGCCCTTGGTTAAAATGCAACTTTGGAGAGTTTACATTTAATCAGAATTAGCTGTTCATAAAGTATATACATAAAATAACCAGAGGCACTGTATGGGCAACACATTGATATCGTTCTCAATCTACTTGTGAGGAAAACCAGCTGGGTGAGAGGGGAATCAGATCCTCTAGCGGTGGTAAGGGAGAATGCATGTCTAGTACCTTCCTGTCAGATCTGATAAAATGTCTTTGCATAACAAAAAGAGGCAGTAGTGGTACATATTGAATAACCTATAATACAAACGTTTGTTTTAATAAAAAAGTAACCCTTGACGAGTCTTTGGTGCATACAATCTTAGTTATTCTGTTTATGCAAGGGGCACGTGCACTATTGCATTGTTTGAGAGTCCATTTTGTTGTTGGTTTTCACATATCTACTGTATTAATAAATTATTCAGTGTGGGCAATAAAGAACAAGCCTTTGTAATTAAATAAAATAAAATCTAACGTTGATTTCCCTCTGGAGTAAGACAGAAACAAAAGAGAAAAAGATAAGCCAATAGCGCCATTCTTCAATGAAATCTCTCTCTTCATTAAGTACCCATCCAAAGTCACTCATTTCAGTCCCAGGCAGTGCCGTCAATCCACAGACAGCGGTAGGCTTGAATGACAGAAGCAAAATTATCCCTTAACCCAATCATGATAAAAAAGGAATGATAAAAAACAAAACTCTTCAGTATCAGTTTGAATGCTTCCTTCCCGAGGTTGCATTTCTCCTCAAAATCCCCAACTTTCCAGCAGCAGTTCTTCTACGTATAAAAATAAATACAAATTCAATTTGATAATACATTTAAAAATGTACACCAATTGCTCTAATGGTCCTAGAATGCCCAGGCACATGTCATCTACTAGTGCCGAGGTCCATGTGTGTCCTGTCCTCAGACAAAGAGCCACAGTTGGTATCTGTCTGAGGGGTTACAGGCCACCAAGGAGGGGTACTCATGACGGGCACTCAGACACAGATTCCATCCTGGGATGAAGAATAACTGGTTCTACACAGAGAGAAGACACAGATTAGTCACTAACATCCTCAGTAGGAAATAACTAACATCTACTTCTATGGTGAAGATAATAAAAGCGTACCAGGCATCAACATCCCCAACAATTTGGTATTATTTCATAGTCAAAAGGATGAACCCCAGGATTTTAAGTAGAAATCTTGACTGAGCCCATTAGAGTAGAGATGTGAGTCTTTGGTCTCACCTCCCTTAACTCCCACTTCTGTTCTGCTCCTACAAATGTGCTGCGGCCTTTATACTGGCAGTCTTCCAGCTTCACGGCTCCCTCCATCCCATGCAAACACAGCTCCTTCTGAATGTTGTGCCGGATCTCGTGATGGGTCGAGTACTCAAAATACTGGGGGATCACAAAGAACACGATAAGTCATCCTCTTGATTTCGAAAGTGACAGACAAAATTCTTATTTCCTTCATGACTGAACCCAGTCCCTTCATTCCCTTCCCTCTGACCTGGTTTCCTCCGAGGCCGTGGCATGGATACAAGATCAGCCGCTTCCCTCCCTCGTTGTTCTCCCCTGCATCCAGACACGAGTCTTTACCTACATTCTTCACCTGGAGGCACAAGGAAAGGGATTTCAGTAAGACACACAAGCTGTTCAAACAATCCCAGCAACCTCCCACCTTAGGTAGTGCGAAGCTGCTCTCTCCACTGGCCTGGCCTGGAGCCCTTCTCTGAGCCCTCTGGAGATGATAAGTGGAAACCCACTGTGGCCAGACATACTGTGGTCTGGAAAGAGCCTAGGAGAGGGGAAGGGGAGAGGGGATGATGACGTGGGGGCTTACCGAGCCAAAGTGGAGTGGGTTGAGATCGGGCATGAAGACCTCTGGATACACGTTCTTCAAATACCAGGAGAAGCTCTTGCACTGCAGCCGCTCCCGGAGGTCCACACGCCGCGCGACGTCTCCGAAGGCCCTCTGTGGGAACAATTCCAGGCAGCAGCCATTAAAGAGGGGGAACTTTCTTCATTACTCACACTGCCCAGGCTTTGAACTGGGAGGGAAGCCTCCATTACCACTTCCCCACAGGCCGTCTAGCGCTGGAGCTTAGTGGTTGATGGGTGACAGCTCGAAGACAGCACCTTGTATGGCAGAGTTTCAGTCTGCCCAATCCCATTTCAAGTAATTGGCATGCACAAAAAATACTTTGTACACAGATGTAGGACTTGAATTTGATCATCCCATTGCAGGAGAACTTTCCTGCAATGCAGGACATTTAAAACTTGTAGTGTATTTGAGGTTTAAAAATGTTGTAATTTCCACTTTGAAATTTGAGACTTGATTTTCCCTTACGAAAAATGTATCAACCCTTACAAAAATGTATATTAATTATAATCCACATCATTCATGTTTCATGTTGCTGTAGGACTATTTTCCTGCTGTAGCAAACTGGCTCAAATTAAGATCCTACATCTATACATAAGATAACTTAGCTGAAATACCATTGCAAATTATGAACCCCCTAGTCCAGAAATGTCTGACTTTTTCCTCTCTTTGCTTCATTTAAATTCATTCAGCCTGTAGCTGTGCTCCGTGAAGCTTTAGAGACTTCCTGCCTGTTAACAACTCTAAACTACTAATAGCACAGAAGGTTTTCCTCAAATGGATTTCTCTCAGTCACAAAGGATACTAGTCAATTCTACTTATTTTACATCACATATTGGGCTAATTTTAGTACTGTACATACAATGGAAATCAAAATGTATGTTCCCCTCACAAGAACGTGTTTGCATATGTGACCTTGTTCAGACTTTGTCCAGACTATGCATAACCAACAGACAGCCTAGGCCCAGCGTGTGGCAGAGGAGGCTGCTGAGGGGAAGAAGGCTTATAATAATGTCCAAAACGGAGCTAATGGAGTGGCATCAAACACATGGAAACCATGTGTTTGATGTACTTGATACCATTCCACTAATTCCGCTCCAGCTATTACCACAATCCTGTCCTCCCCAATTAAGGTCCCACCAACCTCCTGTGGCGTGTGGCTGCCCAAACTTGTCCTACAAGGGGATAACAACTGGCCTGCAGTCAGAATGAGAACATTAGTATGTCCAGAGCAAAGCTGTTAAAACATTACTGTTGGGCAGGGGTGGGCAACGTTGATGGCGGTGGGGCCTACAAAAAAATCAGAACTCTGAGATACATAATGAATAGTTTTAAAGTTAATTTTGTGCAATTCTATACATTTTGCCATGGAGTGTAGAGAAAATGTTGCAGTTTCAAAGCAAGTTTGCTGCAATTCTACACATTGCCATAGGGTGGAGAGAAATGTTAGTGAGTGCATACATTATTTTTTTATAAAAAAAAATCATACTGGCCCCACGTGGGAATTCAACCCTGGCGTTGCAAACGCCATGCTCTACCAACTGAGCTACATCCCTGCCGGCCATTCCCTCCCCTACCCTGGACGACGCTGGGCCAATTGTGCGCCGCCCCATGGGTCTCCCGGTCGCGGCCGGCTACGACAGCGCCTGGATTCGAACCAGGATCTCTAGTGGCACAGCTAGCACTGCGATGCAGTGCCTTAGACCACTGCGCCACTCGGCGTAAACTGGTTCTAACCAGAATAGAAAGAGGAGTGGGAGGTCCCGGTGCACAACTGAGCAAGAGGACAAATACATTAGAGTGTCTAGTTTGAGAAACAAGCATCTCACAGGTCGTCAACTGGCAGCTTCATTAAATAGTACCTGCAAAACACCAGTCTCAACGTCAACAGTGAAGTGGCGACTCCGGGATGCAGACCTTCTAGGCAGAGTTGCAAAGAAAAATACATATCTCAGACTGGCCAATAAAAAGAAAAGATTAAGATGGGCAGTCTGAGATATGGCTTTTTCTTTGCAACTCTGCGAAGAAGGTCAGCATCCCAGAGTCGCCTCTTCACTGTTGACATTGAGACTGGTGTTTTGCGGGTACTATTTAATGAAGCTGCCAGTTGAGGACCTGTGAGGCGTCTGTTTCTCAAACTAGACACTAATGTATTTGTCCTCTTGCTCAGTTGTGCACCGGGGCCTCCCACTCCTCTTTCTATTCTGTTTAGAGACAGTTTGCGCTGTTCTGTGAAAGGAGTAGTACACAGCATTGTACAAGATCTTCAGTTTCTTGGGAATTTCTCGCATGGAATAGCCTTACTTTCTCAGAACAAGAATAGATTGAGTTTCAGAAGAAAGTTATTTGTTTCTGGCCATTTTGAACCTGTAATCGAACCCACAATTGCTGATGCTCCAGATACTCAACTAGTCTCAAGAAGGCCAGTTTTATTGCTTCTTTAATCAGCACAACAGTTTCCAGCTGTTCTAGGGTTTTCTAATGATCAATTAGCCTTTTACATTTACGTCATTTAGCAGACGGTCTTATCCAGAGCGACTTACAAATTGGTGCATTCACCTTAAAGCCAGTGGGATAACCACTTTACAATGTTTTTTTTGTTTGTTTTTTTCGGGGGGGTAGAAGGAACGGTAGTGTATATATACACAGTACCAGTCAAATGTTTGGACACACCTACTCATTCCAGGGTTTTTCTTTATTTTTACATTGTAGAATAATAGTGAAGACATCAAACTATGAAATAACACATATGGAATCATGTAGTAACCAAAAAAAGTGTAAAACAAATACAAATATATTTTATATTTGAGATTCTTCAAATAGCCAACCTTTGCCTTGATGACAGCTTTGCACACTCTTGGCATTCTCTCAACCAGCTTCATTTTTGATGTCTTCACTACTATTCTACAATATAGAAAATAGTCAAATTAAAGAAAAACCCTTGAATGAGTAGGTGTGTCCAAACTTTTGACTGTTACTGCTCGATTTTCTTGAACGGATGTGGCTGAAATAGTCAAATCTACAATTTGAAAGGGTGTCCACATACTTTTGTACATATAGTGTGTGTAAAACATATATTACACACACACACTATACAGTGAGGGGAAAAAGTATTTGATCCCCTGCTGATTTTGTACGTTTGCCCACTGACAAAGAAATGATCAGTCTATAATTTGAATGGTAGGTTTATTTGAACAGTGAGACACAGAATAACAAAACAAAAATCCAGAAAAACGCATGTCAAAAATGTTATAAAATGGATTTTCATTTTAAATGAGGGAAATAAGTATTTGACCCCCTCTCAATCAGAAAGATTTCTGGCTCCCAGGTGTCTTTTATACAGGTAACGAGCTGAGATTAGGAGCACTCTCTTAAAGGGAGTGCTCCTAATCTCAGTTTGTTACCTGTATAAAAAGACACCTGTCCACAGAAGCAATCAATCAATCAGATTCCAAACTCTCCACCATGACCAAGACCAAAGAGCTCTCCAAGGATGTCAGGGACAAGATTGTAGACCTACACAAGGCTGGAATGGGCTACAAGACCATCGCCAAGTAGCTTGGTGAGAAGGTGACAACAGTTGGTGCGATTATTCGCAAATGGAAGAAACACAAAATAACTGTCAATCTCCCTCGGCCTGGGGCTCCATGCAAGATCTCACCTCGTGGAGTTGCAATGATCATGAGAACGGTGAGGAATCAGCCTAGAACTACACAGGAGGATATTGTCAATGATCTCAAGGCAGCTGGGACCATAGTCACCAAGAAAACAATTGGTAACACACTACGCCGTGAAGGACTGAAATCCTGCAGCGCCCGCAAGGTCCCCCTGCTCAAGAAAGCACATATACAGGCCCGTCTGAAGTTTGCCAATGAACATCTGAATGATTCAGAGGAGAACTGGGTGAAAGTGTTGTGGTCAGATGAGACCAAAATCGAGCTCTTTGGCATCAACTCAACTTGCCGTGTTTGGAGGAGGAGGAATGCTGCCTATGACCCCAAGAACACCATCCCCACCGTCAAACATGGAGGTGGAAACATTATGCTTTGGGGGTGTTTTCTGCTAAGGGGACAGGACAACTTCACCGCATCAAAGGGACGATGGACGGAGCTATGTACCGTCAAATCTTGGGTGAGAACCTCCTTCCCTCAGCCAGGGCATTGAAAATGGGTTGTGCATGGGTATTCCAGCATGACAATGACCCAAAACACACGGCCAAGGCAACAAAGGAGTGGCTCAAGAAGAAGCACATTAAGGTCCTGGAGTGGCCTAGCCAGTCTCCAGACCTTAATCCCATAGAAAATCTGTGGAGGGAGCTGAAGGTTTGAGTTGCAAAACGTCTGGCTCGAAACCATAATGACTTGGAGAAGATCTGCAAAGAGGAGTGGGAAAAAATCCCTCCTGACATGTGTGCAAACCTGGTGGCCAACTACAAGAAACGTCTGACCACTGTGATTGCCAACAAGGGTTTTGCCACCAAGTACTAAGTCATGTTTTGCAGAGGGGGGTCAAATACTTATTTCCCTCATTAAAATGCAAATCAATTTATAACATTTTTGACATGCGTTTTTCTGGATTTTTTTGTTCTTATTCTGTCTCTCACTGTTCAAATAAACCTACCATTAAAATTATAGACTGATCATGTCTTTGTCAGTACAAAATCAGCAGGGGATCCAATACTTTTTTCCCTCACTGTATGTACAAAAGAATGTGGACACCCCTTAAAATGAGTGGATTTTACCATTTCAGCCACACCCGTTCCTGAAAATCGAGCACACAGCTATGCAATCTCCATAGACAAACATTGGCAGTAGAATGGCCTTACTGATGAGCTCAGTGACTTTCAACGTGGCACAACCATAGGATGCCAACTTTCCATAATGTCAGTTCTTCAAATTCTGCCCTGCTAGAGCTGACCCGGTCAACTGTAAGTGCTGTTATTGTGAAGTGGAAATGTCTAGGAGCAACAACGGCTCAGCCACGAAGTGGTAGGCCACACAAGCTCACAGAATGGGACCGCCGAGTGCTGAAGCGCGTAGCGCATAAGAATCATCTGTCCTCAGTTGCAGCACTCACTACAGAGTTCCAAATTGCCTCTGGAAGCAACGTCAGCAACTGTTAGTCGGGAGCTTCATGAAATGGGTTTCCATGGCCGAGCAGCCGCACACAAGCCTAAAATCACCATGCACAATGCCAAGCGTCGGCTTGAGTGGTGTAAAGCTCACCGCCATTGGACTCCGGAGCAGTGGAAACACGTTCTCTCTGGGGTGATGAATCACGCTTCACCATCTGGCAGTCAGACAAACAAATCTGGGTTTGGCGGATGCCAGGAGAACGCTACCTGCCCCAATGCATAGTGCCAACTGTAAAGTTTGGTGGACGAGGTATAATAGTCTGGGGCTGTTTTTCATGGTTCGGGCTAGGCCCGTTAGTTCCAGTGAAGGGAAATCTTAACGCTATAGCATACAATGACATTCTAGACGATTCTGTGCTTCCAGCATTGTGGCAACAGTTTGAGGAAGGCCCTTTCCTGTTTCAGCATGACAATGCCCCAGTGCACAAAGCGAGGTCCATACAGAAATGGTTTGTCGAGATCAGTGTGGAAGAACTTGACTGGCCTGCACAGAGCCCTGACCTCAACCCCTACAGCAGGGGTGGTGCAACTCAATATTAGGAAGGTGTTTCTAATGTTTGGTATACTGTATACACACATATATACACACACACACACACACACACACACACACACACAGTGGGGAGAACAAGTATTTGATACATTGCCGATTTTGCAGGTTTTCCTACTTACAAAGCATGTAGAGGTCTGTAATTTGTATCATAGGTACACTTCAACTGTGAGAGACTGAATCTAAAACAAAAATCCAGAAAATAACATTGTATGATTTTTAAGTAATTAATTTGCATTTCATTGCATGACATAAGTATTTGATCACCTACCAACCAGTAAGAATTCTGGCTCTCACAGACCTGTTAGTTTTTCTTTAAGAAGCCCTCCTGTTCTCCACTCCACCTACCTGTATTAACTGCACCTGTTTGAACTCGTTACCTGTATAAAAGACACCTGTCCACACACTCAATCAAACAGACTCCAACCTCTCCACAATGGCCAAGACCAGAGAGCTGTGTAAGGACATCAGGGATAAAATTGTAGACCTGCACAAGGCTGGGATGGGCTACAGGACAATAGGCAAGCAGCTTGGTGAGAAGGCAACAACTGTTGGCGCAATTATTAGAAAATGGAAGAAGTTCAAGATGACGGTCAATCACCCTCGGTCTGGGGCTCCATGCAAGATCTCACCTCGTGGGGCATCAATGATCATGAGGAAGGTGAGGGATCAGCCCAGAACTACACGGCAGGACCTGGTCAATGACCTGAAGAGAGCTGGGACCACAGTTTCAAAGAAAACCATTAGTAACACACTACGCCGTCATGGATTAAAATCCTGCAGCGCACGCAAGGTCCCCCTGCTCAAGCCAGCGCATGTCCAGGCCCGTCTGAAGTTTGTCAATGACCATCTGGATGATCCAGAGGAGGAATGGGAGAAGGTCATGTGGTCTGATGAGACAAAAATAGAGCTTTTCTGTCTAAACTCCACTCGCCGTGTTTGGAGGAAGAAGAAGGATGAGTACAACCCCAAGAACACCATCCCAACCGTGAATCATGGAGTTGGAAACATCATTCTTTGGGGATGCTTTTCTGCAAAGGGGACAGGACAACTGCACCGTATTGAGGGGAGGATGGATGGGGCCATGTATCGCGAGATCTTGGCCAACAACCTCCTTCCCTCAGTAAGAGCATTGAAGATGGGTCGTGGCTGGGTCTTCCAGCATGAGAACGACCCGAAACACACAGCCAGGGCAACTAAGGAGTGGCTCCGTAAGAAGCATCTCAAGGTCCTGAAGTGGCCTAGCCAGTCTCCAGACCTGAACCCAATAGAACATCTTTGGAGGGAGCTGAAAGTCCGTATTGCCCAGCGACAGCCCCGAAACCTGAAGGATCTGGAGAAGGTCTGTATGGAGGAGTGGGCCAAAATTCCTGCTGCAGTGTATGCTAACCTGGTCAAGACCTACAGGAAACGTATGATCTCTGTAATTGCAAACAAAGGTTTCTGTACCAAATATTAAGTTCTGCTTTTCTGATGTATCAAATACTTATGTCATGCAATAAAATGCGAATTAATTACTTAAAAATCATACAATGTGATTTTCTGGATTTTTGTTTTAGATTCCGTCTCTCACAGTTGAAGTGTACCTTTGATAAAAATGACAGACCTCTACATGCTTTGTAAGTAGGAAAACCTGCAAAATCGGCAGTGTATCAAATACTTGTTCTCCCCACTGTATATACACATATACAGCTATCCGAGGGCCTTCAAAAGGGCGACTGGACGCCAGTTACCCATCTCTGCTGTAGGTGATGGATTAACAGCTTTAGAATGCCTGTCGTATTTCTTGGGTTATCAGCTTGCCTAGCTTGGTTTAAATGTACAAAAATATAACAATGTCACTCAGAAATACCACATACGTCTTTGGCCAGCTGTGCAGCTTGTTGGTTGCGTCGGTAGAAGATTTCCTTGTAGTCGTCCATCCAGACCTCGGCCAGCCGCACCTGATTGCGTGCGATCACCTGGGTGCCCTTGGGGAAGGTGTGCGGGCTCTTGGTGCGGAACACGTGACCCACGATGGAGCAAGGGATTATTTCTAGCTGACCCCCACACTGCCACACCTACAGACAGACAGGCAGGCAGGCAGACAGACAGAGGCAACACACTCAACACTGTTAGAAATACTTGGCATGACGACTATACTGCTGCACGATATAAAGACAGAGGATGACTCACTTACAATAGCACTGATGACACACTAATACAGTGCATTCGGAAAGTATTCAGACCACTTCACTTTTTCCACATTTTGTTACATTACAGCCTTATTCTAAAATGGATTAAATAAAACATTTTCCTCATCAATCTACACACAATACAACATAATGACAAAGCCAAAACATAAATACCTTATTTACATAAGTATTCAGACCCATTGCTATGAGACTCGAAATTGAGCTCAGGTGCATCCTGTTTCCATTGATCATCCTTGAGATGTTTCTACAACGTGATTGGAGTCCACTTGTGCTAAATTCAATTGATTGGACATGATTTGGAAAGGCACACACCTGTCTATATAAGGTCCCACAGTTGACAGTGCATGTCAGAGCAAAAACCAAGCCATGAGGTCAAAGGAATTGTCCGTAGAGCTCCAAGACAGGATTGTGTCGAGGCACAGATCTGGGGAAGGGTACCAAAGAATTTCTGCAGCATTGAAGGTTCCCAAGAACACACTGGCCTCCATCATTCTTAAATGGAAGAAGTTTGGAACCACCAAGACTCTTCCTAGAGCTGGCCACCCGGCCAAACTGAGCAATCGGGGGAGAAGGGCCTTGGTCAGGGAGGTGACCAAGAACCCGATGGTCACTCTGTCAGAGCTCCAGAGTTCCTCTGTGGAGATGGGAGAAACTTCCAGAAGGACAACCATCTCTGCAGCACTCCACCAATCAGGCTTTTATGGTAGAGTGGTCTTACTGAAGCCACTCCTTAGTAAAAGGCACATGACAGCCTGCTTTGAGTTTGCCAAAAGGCACCTAAAGGACTCTCATACCACGAGAAACAAGATTCTCTGGTCTGATGAAACCAAGATTGAACTCTTTGGCCTGAATGCCAAGTGTCACGTCTGGAGGAAACCTGGCACCATCCCTACGGTGAAGCATGGTGGTGGCAGCATCATGCTGTGGGGATGTTTTTCAGTAACAGGGACTGGGAGACTAGTCGGGATCGAGGGAAAAATGAATGGAGCAAATTACAGGGAGATCCTTGATGAAAACCTGCTCCAGAGCGCTCAGGACCTCAGACTGGGGCGAAGGTTCACCTTCCAACAGGACAACGACCCTAAGCACACAGCCAAGACAACGTAGGAGTGGCTTCGGGACAAGTCTCTGAATGTCCCTGAGTGGCCCAGCCAGAGCCCGGACTTGAACCCGATCGAACATCTCTGGAGAGACCTGAACATAGTTGTGCAGTGACGCTCCCCATCCAACCTGACAGAGCTTGAGAGGATCTGCAGGGAAGAATGGGCGAAACTCCCCAAATAGACGTGTGCCAAGCTTGTAGCTTCATACTCAAGAAAACTCTAGGCTGTAATCACTGCCAAAGGTGTTTCAACAAAGTACTGAGTAAAGGGTCTGAATACTTATGTAAATGTGATATTTCATTTTTTGCTTTGTCATTATGGTGTATTGTGTGTAGATTGATCAATTTAATCAATTTTAGAATAAGGCTGTAACGTAACAAAATGTGGAAAAAATGTAGGGGTCTGAATACTTTCCGAATGCACTGTACATGCTGTTGTCTAACTATATAGAAAGGCAAGTGATCCTTCTCTTACTCTGAAAGACATTTCGATATTCTCCCCGCCCCAGATTTCCATTTGTTCATCATAGCTTCCGATAAGATAGAAGTAGTCCTTGGAGATTGAAAAGAGTCCCCCAGCAAAAGTTGGTGTCCTGTGAAGTAAAATATATCCACTGAATAGAGGGTCCAGATATTTTTTACACTCAGCTGAGAAATAGATCATTCACAACCACCTATCATGGAATACAGATAGACAGAAGTGTTTGACATGCCTGAAAGTAGGCATTCACATAGTTCTTCTCACTTGATAGGATAAGTCTCATCCTTTCTCCGTTGTTTCTCATGGTCCGGTAGACTCTCCCAGCCAAAGGACAGGCCCCAGTCAAAGTTACCACGGTTGTGGTTCTGTCCGTATGGCGAGGGCTTCATAAACTCAAAGGTGTTGAGGTCAATGGTGGTGATGTCAGGACTCACTACTGCAGTGTAGTTCTCTGCTATCCTGGCCAGTAGAGGCTCCAGCCAGCCATTGAAGCATTCACCTGTTGGATACGCATTCATCATCAGCCTAACAATACAATCACTAAATAGAATTTTAAATGTGAAACACTACATCAACAAGGAACATAGAAGCCTGTGGTTTAAAAGCAATCACTTTGAGAACATACCTAAAATACCACAAATGAAATCACCTGTGAGCTGAACAACTACATTTAACACTGATTTGATACTTCCCAGGCCACCTGGAAACAGCCACCCCAAAAATAGAAGATATGTTACATTCCAATAACAATAATATGGTTTGTGGCATTACTGCCATGCCCTAAACAGCATGAGCATTTGACTAGTATTCTGATGATTAGTGTGTAGGTGGATAAACAGGTGTGTCTAAAAGGCTGAGCTGTTCTGGTTGTTCCAGCCTGATGACTCAGTTGTTTGATGTCAGTACTGTGGCGTGTATGTGTGTGGACTAACAGTGAGCGTCAAGGAAGGTGAGGATGTCTCCAGTGGCCACCGAGGCTCCCAGCAGCCGAGCAGTAATCAGGCCCTTTCTCTCCCGCTGACGCACCACACGCACAATGTGCAGCCGCTTCAAATACTCATCCAGCTCCTCCTTCAATGCATCTGTGAAAGGAAATGAACTAACTGCATTAGCTATGGAACCGGAGATCTATAAATGGACAGTGCCAACAAGGTTAAATACTAGAGGACTTACTAGAGCAACCTACAGCAAAAAGCTTTGAAATGTAAGAATAAAACAATGTGCCAAATACAATGAAATGATAATTTTTGCTCAAATTCCTGCCTCAGTGACTATCTGGGAGAGTTGGCCTCTACCTCAACTTGGCCCCCCAGTATGGAAGCTTACACTTCAACAGAGTGAATGAAAGAGTGAGTGAGATGCCTGGCATTCATCTAATAGCGGGCTATTCCCAATAAATGACTGTGAGTTTTGAGTGTCACTCAGTGGGGCTGCATTTCCCTTGGGGAAATCACAAGTGTAATATTGCAGATAGATTTTGGGTTATATCAAAATAATTGTTTGCAGAATTTCTAATCCTCCCATTTATTTGTATTTATTTTTAAACCTACCACCCCTAACTGCCAACAATACGCCTTCTACTGCTATTCACAGCTATCGTTGCTCACATATACAGTACACTCTAATCTTAATTACAACCCTCAGTTGTCCCCATACTAACCCATCTTTCCCAGCACACTACCATTTTACTCTTTCCTTTAGCAAAACATCCTAGGTCGTTCCATGTCATTTCAGCAAGCCATGACACCCACCATCTTGGATTGTTCTGAAATTGTTTCTGCAGTTAGAAACAGACAATATAAGCATTTCGGAAACATAATTTATTTCAAATATAAATAATTTGATATCTGAGAAATTAAGCTAATTGATTGCACCCAAATTTACCATTTTAAATGTACAGGATTCACATAATATTCAATAATTATAGACCACTTCTTTGGATTCCTCATGTCATGTCTTTCTCATTTTTAGACAACGGTTTGGTCAAAATCGGATGTTAGGTACTATAATTCTTTAAAAAATAAAAATCACCTACTAGCAGGAACAGCACCATCTAGTGGTCAGAACCTGGAAATATCAGGATGTAGGATGGGACATAAACCCAACAACTTCAATTACTAATTTCTCTAAACAGGGGAAAGACACTGTCACCAAATTCACTGAGAATACATTACATACGATGAAAAAAACAACACTCTGAGCCACAGCTCCATAGTACTTGTCAGACTGATACTATTTCCTGTTGTTGGGGTCCGATTTCTCATGTTTTTATTTTGTACTTTTACCCCTTTTTCTCCCTAATTTCGTGATATCTAATTGATAGTTACATCACTGCAGCTCCCCTACGGACTCGGGAGAGGCAAAGGTCGAGAGCCATGCGTCCTCCGAAACACGACCCTGCCAAGCCGTACTGCTTCTTGACACTGCTCGTTTAACCCAGAAGCCAGCTGCACCAATGTGTAGGAGGAAACACCATCCAGCTGGTGACCAAAGTCAGCTTGTAGGTGCCCGGCCCGCCACAAGGAGTCGCTAGAGCGCGATGGGACAAGGAAATCCCGGCCGGCCAAACCCTCCCCTAACCCGGACGACGCTGGGCCAAATGTGTCTCCCGGTCACGGCCGGCTGTGACACAGCCTGGGAACGAACCGGGGGCTGTAGTGACGCCTCAAGCACTGCGATGCAGTGCCTTAGACCACTGCGCCACTCGGGAGGCCCACTTAATTTCTAACTCATTGTTAGAAAAAGGTTTGGTCCAAATTGGATGTTAGGTACTATATTTATTGAATATTATATGAATCCTATAAATTAAAATGGCACATTTGGGTGTTATCAATTAGCTTAATTTCACAGAGATCAAATTATATTTCAACAAAATAATGTTGCAGGAATGCTAATCTTATCTGTTTCTAATAACAGAAACGATTTCAGAACAATCTAAGATGGTGGGTGTCAAAAACCTCTTTCTTGTGCTTTTTGGAGGTGGAATGACCCTCCTATTTTCCCTCGGCCTTGGGCCTGTTTACAAGAGCAAACTCTGACTCATTTCTCCACAGCACCATGGACTAGCTAGCCCCTCTTAGGAAAGCATTCACTAGCAGTGCTACTTCCTGCTATAACCCCCTTCACAAGAAGCCGGGGCTCCAGCCTGCACATTTCATGGCACACCAGCGGGCCGCCTGTCTAAAAATAATTCCAAGTGAGAACAGGGTGGTCCTGCTGGTTAGTTCCTTACCGTCCACACTGGCATCGTCCACCAGGATGATCTCCTTGAGGAAGATGGCAGGGGAGGTGTGGAGGACGCTGTACACCGTCCTCAGCAGAGTGCTCCAGCCTTCGTTGTGAAACACAATGATCACGCTGGTGGTCAGCAAGGGGGGACAACGCTTGAACGTTTGCTCGATACATCTGCAAAAGAAAACCATACAAAAATAACAATGTGGTGTCTTTTATGGTCCCTGAGAGGGCTTTCAGTGCAGGACTGTGGTTGAAACATCTGAAGTCCCTCCTTAAAGGGGTGTCTGTTTCAGTTGTGTCATTGGGATATGGGACTCCCTTGAAAATGCCACCCGCATTAGACACAGTCTGAATCTGTGTAAATTACCCCATTAAAAATAATAGAAACATGGACAGACTTGTTTAATTAGCCAAACAAAACTCAGCTTTTTCTTGACCCAGCCACATTTACTGGGCACACATGCTGAAACAATGTTTCAGACAGAAAAACTTGGGTTGTGGTTGGAGTGAAATTTTCCTCAATAACTCTAAAAGAAAATATCAAAGACTTGTTTGGGTTAAAACCATCATGTCTGTTGGAGACACATTATATAATATTGTTATCTCCTTCCGTCTGTGGTCATTCAGAATGTGACTTTGGTTTCATATTGAGCCACTGAGACAAGACATCAAAATTAATGGAAATTGAATCCCTCTACAGAGAAACGGTTCTATTGAACACCACAAGATGGTGCTGCTATGTGATGAGGAGAAACTCCCTTCGAGATGTTTGCTTCAAATTAGGATGTTTTACAACATAACCTATAATGATAGAATTTCCATCATAAACAGGGCCACTGACCCCAAGATTTACTGGACATTTTTACATGGCCATGCTGGTTTGAACTGAAGCATATGGCACTGTGACAATACATTTTAGAGCATGTATATGGAAACAACTGTGACAGCTTCCACAAAAATGGCTAGTTAATTATTGAGAAATAACATACTCTGGTGGTCTGGTGTCAGGGCCCAGGTCACGGCTGAGAGAGATGCGATCGCTGGCGTAGAGGTTAAAGCAGTGTTTTTCCTCTCCCCGGTCCTTCTCCTTCTGTTCAGCAGGGCTCAGTTTGTCTGTGTGAAAGGGCTTCCCAGAGGCTCCGGGGCCATTGGGGTCCTGAGGTGGACGCTCCAGGGCTGGCCTCAGCTCTGCAGCCGTGTAGGTCCCTGACAAACAGGAGAAGTCCCCTGCAGTCTCCTGCTGACGCACTGGGGCTTTGATCTGCATCTTTGGCATGGCATCCCTGAAGTTATTGACTGCCCCCATCACCATGCCCAGCACGGCATCCCGCTTGACAGCTATCTCCTTCAGCCAGGGCTCTTCTTGTGTGGGACTTTGGCTTACTACCTCACGTTGTATAAGGAACAAAAATGTGACAAAAATAAGGGCGACTATCACCAGTTTTAAGGGGTGTAATCGCCTTCGGAGAACTCTGCGGAGACCACTCATTCTTCTGGAGATGTGTGGGGTAGATTGCTTTGAGACAGCACTTCACCTAACACAGTCAGTTGCAACGAATGTGACAAATGTGTCAAATAAACAGAGGCAATTAGCAAGATCATAAAACTCAGTCTCACATGCATGGAAAACACTTATTTATTCAAAGCTGAGAACAGAATGAACTGTTACATGCCATTTGAATTATGAACTTCCACACATGAAAGCAGGAAAGTAAAAAGATATGTGATTGTTTTGCTCCAATACTTTTCCATTAAAAGAGTTGGAGAACGTTTTACTGTACAGTAGTCTACTAAACGACAGGATAGATCAGGCTACTATAAAATGTACTTGTCATTTCACTGCAGTTTAACATTCTTTTCCGGAAAATTATATGACTTACCTGGACGTTACATAATAAGGATGGGAACTGCAATCCAAATCCTTGATTTAAAAAAGTCCATCAAATTATGCCAAGCATATCGTAAAAAGAAAATCTGTGGAGCGTTTCTCAATCTCTACAAACTACTTCCGTCTCGTTGGATCCAGGTGCGCTCCTTTCAGGTAGAGGGTGGAACCCTTTTTAGTTGGCACGCGTGCGTAGAGCGGATCTTTCTGTCAAACCCCCAAAGCCATGCAATTATTACATTAGTGAAACATTGCAAAGCAGCAGGCATTTTGACAACAAATTATGAATTTGTCATTTGGCACATAAAGTATGCGTCTATTTGTGTCAGTAGCAAAAGTCACTTTGATTTACTCCAGCTACAAAGTTAGACCCCTCCTTGTGCCCCAAATTAAAAAGTGTTATCTTGCGGAGTCACTTTGTCTCAGGCAATATTGGAAATAGTTTACTCTGCGGGATACGTCTGATCTAATAATTGTGTAAATTCTTAAAATAATAGGATTTGTTCAGCCAGCCATTCATTGAGACTGTTGCTGGGTTACAAATAGCGGAGGAACGTATCCTATACCTCTCTCATAAGCACCGCATCCAATCAGGCTACTTAGAAGAATAACAGGAGGTCGCCTACATTGGACGGGGTATAGGTCTACCCTTCAGAAATAAGTGAGCATAAATGTAAATTAATTTGAGCTATGCTAGATTATGTAGCCTACAAATGTTATGTATAGTCATACAATAAGAGAGCGAACTGTTGATCAGAATTGTCAAATATTCAAGCAAAGGCGTTATAGCGCATCTGTTACAAAGTATCATACTGTAAGCTACAGAATAATTTATCAAATGGCTCAGTAAAGAGCATTAAACAACAGGCACATACGTTTAACGTTACGGTTTACACTAGAATCAAAGTCCAAGCTTAAGTATTTATCCTCTAGCCTGAAGAAAATGAATGACTGAAAATGTGCCACTCACCGAACATTTTGGACCCTCTGAGACATATCCCAACATATTCCTGCTTGCCAAGTCACCCCTGCAGATGGTATTCATAAAGTGTTCGATGCTTGAGGGGGTAAAGAAAAGACTTGGACACCGTAGCCATTCGGAGGAGGAATACTCCGGTGCCCAGTTAGGAGTCTTGTCAAGTAGGATCAACGAGTGACACAATTCACCATGTCTGTTCTCCTCTCTTTCTTGGTACTTAGCCTACAGCACAAGCTCAAGAGTTGTGGAAGGGACTTTTTCCATTAATACAGGAATGGTCTCTATTACATCTTCTAGTTGAATAGGCATATATGAATAGTAGAACAGCCAGTCTCTTAAATGTCCATAACTGAAAAAGTAATAACTAAACAGTTACTGTTGGAATATTCGTTTTATATTCTTAATATCAACTCTTTACAAAACATAAAGTCACTGCATACAATTTCCATTGGTGTGTGTGTATGCGGTGTTGGGGAAGCTACTCTGAAGATATAGTTTACCAACCTACCAATTATTTCACACTGGAAGAAGTTAAGCTACACTAAAGCTACCCTTAAGAAATATATAGTTTACTTAACTAAAGTTACTTTGAAAAAGTAGTTCACTCCATCCAAACTACTTCATGAAAAATGATCAAATCTGAAATGTCATAGACTACAAATTGCAAGAACAGGTCACTCTGGAGTCAGATGTTAACATAATGCGTAATTTAGCCTACTAAACACAAAAACTGTTTCAAGTGAAAATTAGGCAGGTCTGATAGTGAAAAAGAAAGGAAATCTTGCCTACCCATATTTCCCCCCAAAAAGTAGTGTGTAGTTCCACTAGTTACATGGCAAAAAGTAATGAACTACTGAAAACACTACCAAGAGTTGAATTTAGTTAAACTACCACCAAGTTAATTAAATTACTAGTTGAACTACATGTAGTTCACTACTCCCCATCACTGTGTGTATGTGCGTCAACTTTTCAATATTATTTCTCATTACACTGGTAATTGGCATAATGTACTTGTCATTTTTATAACTTTAACTTCATAGATAACTTTGCAAATACTGTTGGAAAGAAAACCATTTGAAAGACATGTTATGGGTCATTACCAAAGCTCAATGGTCATTAGGCTACTGGTACAAGACTTAGAGTTTGGGTGTTTGTCTTGGCAGTGGGAGTCAACATTCAATATAGTACCCTTAACCTCCCTATGGGAGGGTTCTGTCGACTCCCAGAGTGGTATTTCCCTTCATTAAAAAAGGACAACCTTACATGTATAGAAAAACATGATATCAACAGAGTGGATGACACCATAATATCTAGATCAAGTCTAGTGTAACTGACTGACACTGAGTTGGATGTGCATATTCATTCTTAACCTGGAAATAACTGCATGTCTCCATCCCAAATGGCACCCTCCCAATGTATTGCACTACTTTTCACCAGGGCCATTTGGGACATAACCCATGTCTGATCTGCTATGTAATGACTACGCCTTAATAAGAAGTTCAATGATTTAAAAACAATTTAAGATGCATTTAAAGTTAATAAATGTAAGGCCAGGTACCACACCCTAATAGGGGATTGTAGATAACAATATAATACTTTTTTTGTATATAAAAAAACCCCAAAATATTGTATAAAAATATGCAAATAAGGCAATGTCTCACTAAATATACACATATTTGCATATCCCACAAATCTATTTTTCGGGACACTGGATTAATTCAGCATTAACATTTTGGTTCTATTTTCTTTTGACACTCCAGGACTGGACTTAATCAGAGCAGATTGTGGATAAATACTTTTTAAATCTTTCTATCTGTAAAATACTAAAGACATGTATGTTAAAAGCATTTTTGGCAAATGTTTCTAAAGAAAACGTGATGTAGAATAAAAAATGTACAACATATCAACAATTCCCTCTGGGCAAGTCTCGAGAATATAGCTACGGATAACCACACACAATTTGGTAAATGTAGATGCTTCTGAAGCTGAGGAAAGTGAGTTGGTGTGTGGGAAGAGTCTGACTTGCGGGAAATGGCAGTTAAGACAAGTACACTTAATTTAGACTACCAAACGCCAAACACCTATTTAGACCCAATCACAATCTCTTCAAAGTAAGTTATTACATATAGTCCAGTTTGTTACATTCTCAATGAAATTGACTTTGAAATGATGTGTAATTCAATGTAGTGAGCTTTGAAATTATGGATGTACTGTATGTCTATTTTAAAGTGGTTAAAATTCCTGACATTTATATGATGGCAGTATGATAAACTAAAGAAAATATACATTTCCATCAAGATTGACATTATGTTTACTTTTTGAAAATACTCATATTAATCGACCAAAATACCAACAAATCTAAAATTGATAGGTAGATGCTAAAATGTCATTTCAGCCAGTGGTGCCTGGCCTCAGTGACGTTTACTGCACAACAATATATCTTTCTTTATTGAGTGTTGCAACAGAGTCACTGTTTCCATTGTTTTGCAAGAAAAACACATGGTAAAAATAAGTCTATAACAATACGCATTTTGTATTGTAGTCACATGATTATAAAAAGCACTGTCTCTCATCTCTCGAAAATTCCCTTGATACATGAGAAAAATATCCTTCATAATAACTTCCAAATACTTAAGAATAATAATACATGTCAACAAAACACATCAAATGAGACCAAACAATAAAACACAAACTCTCTGTGTGTGTGTGTGTGTGCGTGCGTGTGTGTGTGTGTGCCAAGACCGCAAAGCTGCCCGAGCTTTCTCCAAGATGTCCTTCCTCATCCTTGGATAATTGGGATAAGCATCCAAAACCTAAAGAAAACATGAACATTTTGTTTATGTATATGATGTTATCCAATGTCAACATGTAAACAAACTGCATTTTAACACACATCTTATTTCATCTTATGATTTTAACCTACCATATGACAGACATCTATGGCATCAACATGCCTCTTTGCTTTCAGGTAGTTGAATGAAAGCTTGTACCCTGGGACAAACATATACTCATATTAATGTACTGTTGTATATTCACATTATTTCAAAAATAAAATGGCAGCAGCATATAAAAAAAGTCCTTAAACATACCTATAGTGGGGTTCGTTTGATTGCCATATTTCCAGGCCATTTCATAGTTCAGCGCTGCATCCTGGAATGCCTGCTCCTTCTCCATAATGTAGCCCATGTATTCATAAGCTTTACAGCATGACTGTGAAAATGAACAATGACTGTTACTGTGAGTGACTAAAATTCATTCTGAATCGTTTTGATCAAGGGTATTACAGTATGGCTCTTTGCTATTACAGTATGGCTCTTTGCTACCCCCCCCCCCCCCCCCCCCCCCCAACATTGACCTTATTAAGGCGAAGACATCTTTTCAAGAGGTCCCCTTCCATGTCGTATTTCCCTGACTGGATGTAAATGTCGGCCAGGAGCAGCCAGCTCTTCTCAAACTCGTCAGTGTCAACAATGCTACAGTTCATCTTAGCTATGCGTTTGAGCTGGTTCCTGGCTCGAGTTGTTTGAGAATCATGTAGGCCGTCGCCATGACTAGCAGTGCAGGCACATGGTCCTTATAAGTTAAAACAGGGAGCTCTGGTTAGTTAAGTGTTGTTTTACAGTCTATCACATCTAACATGTCTTTTTATTTCTATTAAGTAGACAAGGGTATCCAAAAATGTAAATTGGAATGTTTCTTTGTCAGCAATGAGGATAATTCAATTTGTGCAACAGCAATTTCTCCTGCACTCTTACACAACTTCTCTTACCATGGAAAAAACTACTTACCATAAAAAAGGAAAGTTACTCAATAGATAAGCTGTTAAGAAACCCTCCAAAGTCAACATCAATAAAGTGTAAAGCAAAGAGAAAGCTTGAGATAATGCATCCAGTGAGGTTAGAATTGCTCTAAGGGTGTGTATGCCCACTCATGTACACCATCTGGAGTTGACTTACCTCATTGTTTGCAATCTCTGTGAAAACATTCAGGGCTTTCTCAATGTTGGCTTTCTGCTTGGTGGCCAGAAAGCAGTAGTTCTCTAGGATCCGTAGTTGGACGTGTGGGGCTTTAACTCCTTCAGGAGCTTCTCTGCTGTCCTCACAGCAAGCTGCTCCGACTCCTGCTTCTCAGTGGAGTTCCTGAGCATAGATGAGAATGGAAAAAGAAGAGCAATTACATCAATGACAACTTGACAGCCAGATAAATAAGCAAAGATAACATTAATTTACAGATGTGTTTTAGCAAAACAATTTAAAGATTCTTACAGTGAGCTCCAAAGGTATTGGGACAGTGACACATTTGTTGTTGTTTTGGCTCTGTACTCCAGCACTTTGGATTTGAGATGATACAATGACTATGAGGTTAAAGTGCAGACCGTCATCTTAAATTTGAGTGTATTTTCATCCATATCGGGTGAACCGTTTAGAAATTACTTTTTGTACATAGTCCTTCCATTTTAGGGGACCAAAAGGATAGGGACAAATTCACTTATATGTGTATTAAAGCAGTCAAAAGTTCAGTATTTGGTCCCATATTCCTAGCACACAATGATTACATCAAACGTGTGACTCTACAAACTTGTTGGATGGATGCATTTGCTGTTCGTTTTGGTTGTGTTTGAGATTATTTTGTGCCCAATAGAAATGAATGATAAACAATGTATTGTGTCATTTTGGAGTCACTTTTATTGTAAATAAGAATAGAATATGTTTCTAAACACTTTTACATTAATGTGAATGCTACCATGATTACAGAAAATCCTGAATGAATCATGAATAATGATGAGTGAGAAAGTTACAGACGCAGAAATATCATACACCCAAGACATGCTAACCTCTCACCATTACAGTAACAGGTGAGGTTAGCATTTTTTTGGGGGGTATGATATTTATGCCTCTGTAACTTTCTCACTCATCAATATTAACAATTCATTCAGGATTATCCATAATCATGATAGCATCCACATTAATGTAATCCAAAGTGCTGGAGTAAAGAGCCAAAACAACAAAACATTTGTCACTGTCCCAATACTTTTGGAGCTCACTGTAAGAATTTAAAAAACATCCCCACAGCTAATATTCAGCTGTTCATTGAAATATATTATTATTACTGCACATGTAACTCACCCCATATCACCATCTAAGTTCTCAAGACTTCTCTTCCCATAGTGTCATTGCCTGGGTTAAGACAGATCTCAATCATGTTGTACACAGCATTCTGACCCCAATCGTTGTCTTTCCGGGCCTTGTTGAAGTGTCGCAACCCATCATTGGGTTCACCTGTGTACCTGCGCACCAAATCCAACTTTATTAATTATTATTAAAAATATACCATGATCATTGTAAATAAATGTACATGGATTCAATAAATGTTATTAGTATATTTACCACAGATAAAGTCCTTTGCAGTAGTTTTTCAGCCATCTCCAGAAACCTGGGAACTTCCTCTAACTTCCCAGCTCTCCTCAGCAGGTCGATTAGACGTGACAGTGTTGGGTAGTTGTCTAGCAGGAACATATGGGAAAGACATTACTTCCAGTCCAGGGGAGGTCAAATCAGCAGTGCATATTTACATTGAGGTTCTTAAGTTTCCTTTTAAAGATTTGCCAAATCTCCATATAAATTCTATTTCAGGGGGGAAGTTGTGTTTTCAGATCCAGGAGAAACAGAGCCCTGTCACACCTGGTTTGTGTTCCAGTAGCTGCTGAAAGTGGAAAACGACTTGCTCATAGTACTGCTTCCTGAACATCAGGTCAGCCATCATCTACGAGGAAAGAGAAGTTCATTAAGTTTTACAACACGATTTTCAAATGGGACTCGACAGAGATGGCATATACAGTGGGGAGAACAAGTATTTGATACACTGCCGATTTTGTTGGTTTTCCTACTTACAAAGCATGTAGAGGTCTGTAATTTTTTATCATAGGTACACTTCAACTGTGAGAGACGGAATCTAAAACAAAAATCCAGAAAATCACATAGTATGATTTTTAAGTAATTAATTTGCATTTTATTACATGACATAAGTATTTGATCAGCTACCAACCAGTAAGAATTCCGTCTCTCAAAGACCTGTTAGTTTTTCTTTAAGAAGCCCTCCTGTTCTCCACTCATTACCTGTATTAACTGCACCTGTTTGAACTCGTTACCTGTATAAAAGACACCTGTCCACACACTCAATCAAACAGACTCCAACCTCTCCACAATGGCCAAGACCAGAGAGTTGTGTAAGGACATCAGGGATAAAATTGTAGACCTGCACAAGGCTGGGAATGGCTACAGGACAATAGGCAAGCAGCTTGGTGAGAAGGTAACAACTGTTGACGCAATTATTAGAAAATGGAAGAAGTTCAAGATGACGGTCAATCACCCTCGGTCTGGGGCTCCATGCAAGATCTCACCTCGTGGGGCATCAATGATCATGAGGAAGGTGAGGGATCAGCCCAGAACTACATGGCAGGACCTGGTCAATGACCTGAAGAGAGCTGGGACCACAGTCTCAAAGAAAACCATTAGTAACACACTACGCCGTCATGGATTAAAATCCTGCAGCGCACGCAAGGTCCCCCTGCTCAAGCCAGCGCATGTCCAGGCCCGTCTGAAGTTTGCCAATGACCATCTGGATGATCCAGAGGAGGAATGGGAGAAAGTCATTTGGTCTAAACTCCACTCGCCGTGTTTGGAGGAAGAAGAAGGATGAGTACAACCCCAAGAACACCATCCCAACTGTGAAGCATGGAGGTGGAAACATCATTCTTTGGGGATGCTTTTCTGCAAAGGGGACAGGACGACTGCACCGTATTGAGGGGAGGATGGATGGGGCCATGTATCGCGAGATCTTGGCCAACAACCTCCTTCCCTCAGTAAGAGCATTGAAGATGGGTCGTGGCTGGGTCTTCCAGCATGACAACGACCCGAAACACACAGCCAGGGCAACTAAGGAGTGGCTCCGTAAGAAGCATCTCAAGGTCCTGGAGTGGCCTAACCAGTCTCCAGACCTGAACCCAATAGAACATCTTTGGAGGGAGCTGAAAGTCCGTATTGCCCAGCGACAGCCCCGAAACCTGAAGGATCTGGAGAAGGTCTGTATTGAGGAGTGGGCCAAAATCCCTGCTGCAGTGTGTGCAAACCTGGTCAAGACCTACAGGAAACGTATGATCTCTGTAATTGCAAACAAAGGTTTCTGTACCAAATATTAAGTTCTGCTTTTCTGATGTATCAAATACTTATGTCATGCAATAAAATGCAAATTAATTACTTAAAAATCATACAATGTGATTTTCTGGATTTTTGTTTTAGATTCCGTCTCTCACAGTTGAAGTGTACCTATGATAAAAATTACAGACCTCTACATGCTTCGTAAGTAGGAAAACCAGCAAAATCGGCAGTGTATCAAATACTTGTTCTCCCCACTGTAAATAGAACTAACCAGTGTTGCATCTTCATTGACCTGGTCACTCTTCAGAATTACACTGCACTGCTGTTGGCAGCCATCCACATCATCAGGAGTAAGGTACAACCGCGCCATCTCCAGCATCACCTAGTAGCAATGAAAGCATTCAAAATTAAGCTTTCTTAACCGATTACCTTCTAACATCATAATAATAATATCCTTTCCTATGAGCACGTGTAGTAATATAACTGGCTGGTGTAAAACATACATTCACCCCCCCAAAAAATGCACTTAATTATATTATCATTTAGCGGATAAGATAAACTATCGTAATAAGCAAATGAGCAAACTACACAAAAACAGCACAGAAAGGCAATAGAAAGAGATGCTATGGATTCACAAATACAGCTGCAGGGAGCACACACTGAAGGCTTGATTCAGCTGCACTGAACTTGCTATCACTCTCACAATAGACAAGAGCTTCCTTGTAGAATGTCACTGCTCTCTCATAGCCTCTAAGACTCGTGTAGTGTTTAGCGATCTCAGTACAGATCTCTGCAGCGAGCTGCTTCTGCATGAGGACAGCGTATGCCTGCTCCAAATGCACCCGCTTCAACACCTTGGCCCGGGCCTAAATGACAGCACAAGTCTGGGTTCACGGTATAGCTAAGCAATAACAATGTTGTGAATTATGCACGTATCTTGGGGGAGACCTAGACAGCTTTTTTAAATCTTAAAAATGATCATAATAATATATTTCAGTTTCTCTCATTGCGTAGCAGAAGGGCTTTTACAACATCTGACTAATCCGAATACTTTCTCGTTGCAAGGAAAGTAAAGCATTATCGTTTTTGTCAACCTTGCCTTGGATCTTAGCCAACAGGACCAGATAGCGACAATCATCAGTTAATGATGGCAGCTCATTCACTAGACAAAACAACACAAGGCCGACAAGATTGAAAAGTCAGAAAAGCGCTATTTAAGTACTATGTATTATCATTGTAATTTATGACCAACAACGAATTATATAATTGAACATATAAAATGTTCAAAATTGTAGTAATGACATCCAGCTTACCTGGGATTTGGGCAAGAGCCTCTTGTAAAATGTTCTCGCACGTCTCGTACTATAAAAAAAAAATGAAGAAAAGTGGTTGTCCCACTGGCTATAAGTTGAATGCACCAATTTGTAAGTCGCTCTGGATAAGAGCGTCTGCTAAATGATGTAAATGTAAATGTAAAGTTTCATCTTCATTAGCAGTTCAGCCAGGTCATAGAGCATGAAGTCTTCAGAGCAGCTTCATAGTAATTGATTGCCTGTGAATAACAGTGGTGAATCATACAGCTATTGACTAATATAGATTCCTTTAGTTGATCTTTTAATGTTTTTTTCTTACAGGCCTGCTTCACTGGACACGTAACTTTTGCCGAGCCTAAGACACTCCAATTTATTTAAATGAAACCTGGGCGTAAGGAGCGCGGCTGTGAGAGGCTCGCACTGCTTTGCGCAACATTACGCTCTGGTTTTATTTTTTATCATTTGGGCTTGTACAGCAAGAAGTTACGCAGTGTAGCAGCTCCCGTTTTCCTGACGCCCCAGTGTAGCTCCCCAGTTAGTATACAAACCTTGACGCAATTGTGAGTTTTGACGAGAGCTTTTCCAATCTTGCTGGCCAGAGCACCATCTTTGGGGGTTTTCTTCCGAGCCTGTTCGTAGATCTCGATGGCCTTCTCTGGCTGCGAATAAACAGACTTGACTTAGTGACGTTCAGCTGTACAGAACATTAACTGTGATGATTCAACATTTCTGAGTGAGGGAGTCACGAAGGGAGATACCACACACAGATAAGTTGTTTACTATCTTTATAAATAGTTGCGTGATTGAAGAAAACATTGCATAATACTACTTCCTGTGAACACACTACTGTGAAAGACCCAAACCAACCCTACAATCATTGCCTTGTTTTGGGTAACAACAAAACAAATATATATTACATTTCATACCTACCTCTTGGATATTCACATAAGCATCCCCAAGTATAAGACATGTATAAGGACTGGGCAGCTTCTCCACTAATTCTCTAAGGAAAGAGGGGGAAAGGTTCACGGTGAATCTTATTCTAGACATTACAGTCCCACATTATACGGACATGTGTCTGCTCTGAGGTTCACTCATGCTTAATGGCTTCCCAGCGGTGTCTCTGTGTGGAAAATTCATCCTATCAACACAAGTACAGTATCAGAGATGAGGGGAAAGATCTTCGGCACACTTCTAGACACTGCAGGCAGCTTTGCACATACAGCCTTGCTGCTTGAGTGGATAAAGTTGAACATTTCCACTTGATTTTCTGGGAACTTGTGGCCTGGATACTGTTAGGACTGACTGATGCTATGGCATTGAAGGGTGGGCTGACACAGCAATAGGGGATGTGGTTAGTGCACTGGATAAGAGACATGGCTTCAAGTAGTAACACACTATTTGTTACCCTAAACTTCATGTCAAACACCATTAGTGAACAGTTTGTGTACCTAAGGTCAGACTATGGACTTTTCTATAATGCTGAGTTGTTCTTGTTCCTCACCTGTAACAACTGGCATAGAGGCGCTTCTCTTTCCTGTGATTCAGATATATATATATGTCGGCCATCTTCTCCTTGGCCTGGATGTAGTAGGGCTGCACAGGAGTGATGTTTCTGAGCATGCTCAGTGCCAGCTCGGTGTCGCCGCGCAGCAGAGCCAGGTCAGCATTGGCGATAGTGACACGCAGCTCCTCAGGAGTGCCCGAGAACTCGTTGATGGCGTCCTGCATCACTTTGGCAGCTTCATGCTGAAATGACAAACCCATGTTCATTTCATATTTAGCCTTTATTTAAGCATCGAGTCATGATGAGACCATGGCCTATTTTGCATGAACACATCAATAAACAACAATTACACTATACATATCTATATACACATCAATTACACAATACATGAAAAGCAAACACAAAAAGCAAAACACAATCATATGAAACAAACAAATTCTTCAGTAAAAAAGGCCCTCTAACATCCGCCTGAATTGCCCTACAGGCACCAACTTTAAAGCTGCACTATGCAGAAATCGCTCTGCAATTTCCTGGTTGTTAAAATTCTAATAGTTAGCCTAATTTCAGTTTATGTGGCAAAACAAGCATGCATAGTGTAGCGCTGTGAAATATATTTTCCAGAACCAAAAATATTGTCTTTTCAGCTGTTTGAAGCTGGTATACAAAACTGAAAGTAAAAGATGCAAAAACGAAACTTAAGAACAGGAAGCATATAAATAGCGCACATAGAACAGATCTGCCGCTTCTTAGACTTGCGTTCAATGAGAATGACAGATCTATAACTCTATTTGGTCGGGTCACCCAAAAAGTTACATATTGCAGCTTTAGGACTTTTGGAGATAATTCCACATAAGTTGCAAAAAAAACGAAAAGCAGATTTACCTAAGTCAGTGGAGATTGAAGGGATCTCCAGGGTTAGCCATCCCTGAGTCCGGGTCTGGTAACTTATACGTCTGAAGGTTAACAATAAGGTAACGTATGGCGGAAGTTTATGCAAGAGGGCATTGTAGACAAAAAGAGTGCAATGCATCGATCTACGAGACTTCAAGGAGGGCCAGGCTACTTTCTGATACAAAATGCAATGATATGCCATGAATTAGACTTCACTGTTCAACACTGGGCAATGATATGACAGACAGAAGAGAATGGAAACCTGAACAAACACTACCGGAAATATAAGTACAATAAAATATGGAGTATGTATGTTCTCAGTGCAAAGGCCCCTATCTGCATTTTATGAGTTCCGAGAAGTCTCTGTTGCTACGCTAGTTCTCTCCATGTTCTCTTACCTGTTCTCCATTGAGCCAGATGGCCTCAGCGAGTTCCAGAAACACGGACACACATTCAGTAGAGCTCTCGGACCTGGCAGGGAGTGGCACACAGAGTTATTTGAGGATGGGTGTTCCCATAACAGTTCTGTTTGATCTAATATCACATTCATCTGGAATGCTGTTCTTACCTCAAAGTTGTGGCTGAGGGAGAGCTCCAGAGACTGGGAGGAGAGCTTGTAGTTGCCTTGTTAGAGGTGGATCTGTGCCATGAGCAGGTAGGCCTCAGCATGGGAGGGACACTGGTCCAGGCAATGTTGGAGGCTGCTCTGTGCAGTGTCAATAATCACCTAAAGGACATCAGCATTGCCATCAAACCTATTGTTGTCATCCATGTTGAGAACAACTTGGCATGAAAACAAAGCATAATTCTGTCACATGCAATACAGTTGAAACTCACCTGACTGAAACCTGACTTTGGCCAATAGGAAGATGCCTTGTAGGAGTTCAGGTACTATCTTGATCACAGTGTCCAAAACAGAGGCACAATGCTGGAGCTGAGGGGCAGGAGGCTGGCCCTGGGCTGTAGGCTAACACACAGATGATGCCAATGTTTATCTCTATGGGCTTAGACCAAGACCACAATGAATGCCATGACAGGGATAAAAGTCAATTTAAGACCTGTGACGACTTCTTTGATTTATTTATTAATCCCAGTAAATGTGGTGTCAATAATTACTGACAGTAATCTCTATAAATGGATCCATAGATGTGCAGAGCCCCCCCCCCCCCCCCCCCCCCTCTTACCAGAGACTGGGGTTCAATCCCCAGGTAGACCCTTCTCCAACTTTCTCCCCTCTCCTCATTTACTGTATATCCCCTTATAATTTCTACTCTGTCTGAATAAAGTGTGAAATTATGTATTGAACAAATGTATCCATAGACATCCCCCTCCAGACTGACCTTAGCAGGACAGAGTGCTATGTACTCCTTGACAATCTCCAGCAGGAAGTCAGGGTTGCTTCTAAAAATAGTCCACCCCCACAATGGTACAGCAGAAAGTGCATCCCAAATGGCACCCTATTCCCTTCATAGTGCACAACAAAAGCAGTGCACTATAAAGGGAATACAGTGCCATTTGGGACACACCTAGAGAGTATTCCCTGGGCCAGCAGAGGCCATAAAACTAAAGACTCACAGAACCAGCTGTTACTCAGAGGTTACTCATCCAGGCTGATGTCACTGTAAAGGGCTTAACAAACACAGAAAATACCAAGAATTACTCAACAAAAAGCTGTCCAAAAGGCTACTGGGCTTTACTTTATTACCAAATAGTGGATATGAATGTCAAAAGTGTAATAAGGTTACTTTGGCTAGGCCTTTGAACTGGATTAAACAGAGCAATATCTTTCCTCTATCAGCCTTACCCCTGATTTCCCAATAGACTGATGTATCTCTGTGAGAAACTCCAGCTGTTGCTCTGCATCTTCTAAGTGTCCCTCGATCAGCTGGCACCTGATAATACCTGGAAATAATAAAAGATCATGTTTCACAATCTAAAATCTTAGAAAGGATTTATAAGTCATTTACAAACTGTTAAATATTTGTTTATAGATTGCTTACAATTCTCAACTAAACTGTAAATATTAATCAATTTTGTTATAGGTATATAATGACATGCATAGCTACATTACAGCTAAAAAGCATATGTTAGAACAATCAGTGTAATCTGTCAAAGCTGAGACACCTGATTCATTCAGAGTCATGGCAGTCTTGTACCACTTCATAGCCTATTTGATTCTTCCCTGCAGAACCAACTGGTAGCGCAGCTCTGTGGCCAGATCCACATCCCCTTGGGCTTGAGAGAAGGCTTTGTCTACCATGATGTGGGTCTGGTGAATCATTTTTCTAATTTCTTCCACACTAGTAAGTAATAACATTAGAGTAAGTCTTTGTGTATACCTCATGTCAGACATGGCATGTACTGGTTCAGAGACTGTTGCAATGTTACAACGGTGAAGTGAAGGGGTTCAAAATCTCTTCAGAGGTGAAACCTAGTCACAATATCTTCTATGTAAAATATGTTTATTGCAAACCATTAAACACGTCTTACCACCCGTGTGAAAGCCAAAGACATCCTGTAGAAAAGCTCTGGGCTGTGAGGCTCTTGGGCGTCCAAGTTGCTGACCAGATTTGAGAGCTGGTTTACTGACTGCCAAAAAGGAAAAAGGGTATCCCGCTTGACCATGTACACATCATGGAAAACATTCACCCTTCACATTTAGTTGTGTGGCAGTGGGTTATAGTGTAATCTGTTTCTCATGTTAGCTCGTACTGTTTGAAAATTACCTCTGTGATGTCTCCCTCTCTGCATAAGGAGTGAAGAGTGAGCATTCCCAGGGCTTCTAGGTTGTTTTTATCTCTCTGCAAGTCTGGAATTGGGTAGGAAACATCACATTAATGACCAACACCGTTTGTTTGATCATAATGAAAATGTGGTGCTGTCAGGGTTTTATATTAGTTTTTCCCATGATGGCTTATGTGACCAACAAGGCAGGAGGAAAATGAGAAAATACAATCTAAGGAAGAACACCGACTTAGACAATGAGAAAAAAATAGCAGGACTGTGCACTGCATGTGTCCATCCCTGTTCACAGAGCTACGGCTCAGCAGGGCTAAACCAGTGGCTCTGGTCTTGGGCTTAATCCCCTTAGAAACAGGCTCCACTTGAGTGATCCTCCTTCCTGCAGTTCATAGAACCTGGAGGAGTGCATCCTGGGAAACGCGTAGCTCTAGCGCTTCAGCTCAAAGGCCTTTTTATATTCCCTGGCTCTGGCCAGGGTCCAGCGGGCGAGCAGTCAGGAACAATGGCTCAGTCATTATGCACTGGTTCCAGGCATCACGCTCCATTTTCATTTGCACTTGAATACAGACCCACTTGTAAAGGCTGACTGGCTCGTTCTTTATATGGCTGCCATTGATTGACCAAATCCAGCAATTAAAGTATTTATTTGATCCAAACAAACCTTTACAAAATAAGATTTAAGCCAGCTATTATTTCCAGTATTATTAATTTAAGCTAACAAGCAAACACAATTTATAGAGCAAAAACACCTACAAGATGGGATACTTTACCTCTGTGCTGCATCTACAGTTTGCTCCCAGTCCTGCAGGGTCAACAGAAACTTCATCTTCTTGATAAAGGCAGGGAGAAACCCAGGGAAACGAACAATCACTTGGTTGACTGTCTCCAGAGCTCTGGAAATATTCTGTAGATACTCATAGTAATGTGCCTGTAACAGACAAAATATCACATAATTTATGGGCATGTTGAGGGAAAGTCAAAACGCATTGTTGTACATCTGTTTCGACAGAAAATTACTCTACAAAAAGAGCAAAAGGTAGCAAGCTAGCATTTGGTCTCACTGTACTACCACAGATAAGGCAAAACGATCCATTCAATATATGGTGAGATATGGTCCAAATTGAGACACAGATTATGTTAGTGAATTATTTTATTTATTTTATTTTATTTGACCTTTATTTTACTAGGCAAGTCAGTTAAGAACAAATTCTTATTTACAATGACGGCCAACACCGGCCAAACCTGGACGACGCTGGGCCAATTGTGCACCGCCCTATGGGACTCCCAATCACGGCCGGTTGTGATACAGCCTGGAATCGAACCAGGGGGTCTGTAGTGACGCCTCAAGCACTTAGACCGCTGCGCCACTCAGTCATCCCAGTAAGGGTGTGGGACACAGAAAATCCAGCACATTGAGGCACAATAACTAAGTGCCACATGAAATATGAGAAGTGACAGAGAACTCAATGTCTCCAATGAGTTGTTCCATGTCATTTCAGCAAGCCATGACACCCACCATCTCAGATTGTTCTGAAATTGTTTCTGTAGTTAGAAACAGGTAAGATTGCCATTCCTGAAACATTATTTTGTTGAAATGCAATTTTATCTCTGAGAAATTAATTGATTACACCCAAATTGGACATTTTAATTGATAGGATTCAGATAATATTTAATAAATATAGTACCAAACATCCAATTTGGACCCAACTTTTTCCTACCAATGAGTAATATTTTTACATTAGGAATCCCCAAAATTGGTCAAAAGCCACCTATAATTTCTCTATGTTTGACAAGTAGTATGAAGCTGTGGCTTGGAGTATTGCTTCTCCATACTATGTAATGTGTTCCCTGTGAATTTGGTGATGTTTTTCCCCCCCGTTCAGAGAAATCAGTAATTAAATTTGCTTGCATTATTTACTATAAAATAGTGTGAAAGTACCTGATTCTGACCACTAGATGTCGCTGTTCCTGCTATACCTATCCATTTTGCTGGTCTCCTTTGTTCATTAAATAGATCAACATTTCCTTTGCAACTTTGGGTAAAAAAAACTATAGATTTGACTCATGATGACAATCATTTGTGTGGTCATCCTCACAATTCAAGCCAGTCCTCCATAAAAGCAAATGAGTTTGTCCTTCTTTTACGCTTAATCTGTCTCCAGGAAACGGCCCCTTTGCGTGTGGTTTATTCCCTTCAAAAAAGGTCTGGATTAGTTACTGTTAGACCATTCCTGGTGAACAAGCAAACCATTAGGCTACAGCAGTTCTAATGTTTTCAATGTTATGGTCTCTAGTGGTCTTCAATGGTAAAAGTCCCAAACACACACTGTGCAGTAATTTGCAATTGTAATGGTATTGGGTTGTGTTGGGTTTAATGGTAAATGTCACTAATCACAATACATATAGAGCTGTTTCCTGAGGAGTTTTTTTCAAAAATATAAGACTGCCATGCAATTCATTCTTTTATTAGGATTGTCACAACATTTTAGTCCCTAGCTTATTTCTCCATCAAAGTTTAGGGCTTGGGAAAAATTTCAAATGAGAATTGCATAGGGAAAGCCCTCTCAGAGAGCGGCCACTTGTTGGTCTATTCAAGAAGAGTTGGGTTGAAGCATTAGGTAGCTAAGAGAAGGACAAACTGGAGGACGACCACACAATTTATATTCATAATGAGCCAAATCTATTGGTTTTCTACCCAAAGTTCAAAGGAGCTTTTGTGATCTATATAATAAACACAAGAGACCAGAAGAATTGATAAAAGAGTGTTATAGCAAGAACAGCGGCATCTAGTGGTCAGAACCTGGTACTTTCACACTACTTTATGGTAAAAAATGCAAGCGACTTCAATGATTAATTTCTCTGAACAGGGTAAAAAAAACATCACCAGATTCACAGGGAATACATTACATAGTATGAAGAAACAATACTACAAGCCGCATGAGGTGTGGGGGGTTCCGTGGGTGGCTTTTGACAAAAACAAAATATTACACATTGGCAGGAAGAAGTTTGGTCCAAATCGGATGTTGGATACTATATTTATTGAATATTATCTGAATCCTATAATTAAAATGACCAATTTGGGTCGAATCAATTTGCTTAATTTCTCAGAGATCAAATTATATTTCAACAAAATAATGTTTCAGGAAAGCTAATCGTATCTGTTACTAACTACAGAAACGATTTCAGAACAATCTGAGATGGTGGGTTTCAAAATCCTAATTATTATGCTTTTTGGAGGTGAAACATCTGTTCTCAACACAGGTGCCCTTCGTACCTTTCCCATCAGAGCGAAAACGTCTGCTTTCTCTTTCAGGCCTTCGTCAAAGTATTTCCCAGCCTTCTTGGCATTTGCATGCTTACCAGAGGTCAGATCTATCCAGCCTTTTAGGATAAGCCCCTGAACAACAGACATCAATCCAAACGTTATAAAAGGGTAGACACAAAGGAAACCAGGTAGAAAGAAGTATACTGTGATTTCTAGTCATTCCACTCAAAAAGTTATTGGCAACCCTGTACTGCCATAGCGTGAGCATAATTTAATTGATTTAACTGTTTGAGTTCTGTGTACGACACCTGTATACTTTCAAAAAACTAATACATGCTGTAAATTAATGCATCTTCAAAATACCAAATTCATTGTTACAACAATTTGAGAGAAACACATATGACAAAACTAACTTCTCTGGAACCATTAGAGATGTTTTATCATACTCTCAATGTATTCCCTTGCTTTGTCATTGCGTCCCAGAAGCCATAGGAACATCCCAGCATAGTAGAGCCCTTTAGGAGTTGCACTTTCACAGTCCTCTTTCACGTTGGCATCCAGTTCCTGAATGACATCTCGATCTGCAGTCAACACAAACAGTTAAGTGTATAGATTCAGCTATAGAAAAATACATAAACATGGATCAAGACAAATATGGATTTACCTGAGTTTGGCCTTTTATTTTCTGCATAAACAAGAGCCATGAATGTGCAGAGAGAGACATCTTGTCTGTCATTTATTTTTTCCAACTCATGGTTGGCTTCCTGAATTTGATCTAAAATGAAACATAGGAATCATTGATATTACAAGATATACAGTGAGGTCCAAAAGTATTTGGACAAATATTTTGTTGTTTTGGCTCTGTACTCTAGCACTTTAGATTTGAAATAATACAATGACTATGAGGTTAAAGTACAGACTGTCAGCTTTAATTTGAGGGTATTTTCATCCATATTGGGTGAACTGTTTAGAAATACAACACTTTTTGTACATAGTCTCCCCATTTTAGGGAACCAAAAGTATTTGGACAAATTCACTTATGTGTATTATCAAATCAAATCAAAAATCAAATCAAATGTATTGGTCACATACACATGGTTAGCAGATGTTATTGCGAGTGTAGCGAAATGCTTGTGCTTCTAGTTCCGACAGTGCAGCAATATCTAGCAAGTAATATCTAACAGTTCCACAACAAAAACCTAATACAAACAAATCTAAGTAAAGGAATGGAATAAGAATATATAAATATATGGATGAGCAATGTCATTATCAGAGTGGCATAGGCTAAGATGCAATAGATAGTATAGCATACAGTATATACATATGAGATGGGTAATGCAAGATATGTAAACATTATTAAAGTGGCATTATTTTCAAGTCTGTATGTAGGTAGCAGCCTCTCTGTGCTAGTGATGGCTGTTTAACAGTCTGATGGCCTTGAGATAGAAGCTGTTTTTCAGTCTCTCGGTCCCAGCTTTGACGCACCTGTACTGACCTCGCCTTCTGGATGATAGCGGGGTTAACATGCAGTGGCTCGGGTGGTAGTTGTCCTTGATTATCTTTTTGGCCTTCCTGTGACATCGGGTACTGTAGGTGTCCTGGAGGGCAGGTATTTAAGTATACTTTAACATATTTGGTCCCATATTCCTAGCACACAATTACTACATCAATCTTATGACTCTACAAACTTGTTGGATACACTTTAATGATCATTGTATTATTTAAAACCCAAAGTGCTGGAGTACAGAGCCAAAACAACATAAAAAATGTGTCACTGTCCCAATACGTTTTGACCTCACTGTAGCTGCTTTATTTGTTTGTTTCAAGCAAAGCAATGGAGTCTTCCTTTACCTTGCATCAGGGTACTGTAGGCATGGACAAATCTGAAGGTCGGATAATTGCTGAATTTCCTCTGGGCCACAGCTGCAGCATTTAATACATGATTGAAATACTTCTCGCGGCAATAGTAGTTGATCAAGGCCTGGGAACAAACACAAAAACATGAAATGTAGAGCTGTGATAGGAAATAGCTTAATTTATGGCAGACATAAAATCAAAGAAAACACTTAAGAAAATACCTGAATAAATCAAAGTAGGCTGTAACACAACATTGTGCTGATAAATAAATAACTATTATGGAATGCAAGTGGTCAGCATGATGATACTTGTGTCTGTAATATCTTCAACGCTTCCTGGAAAGTTCCATTGCAAGTTGGCCTGTATTACGGATGTTTACAAATTCAACAATGTAACCAATATGCTAATCAAGAAGACCATTCAGAACATGTATAAATTATAGGAGATTCATCCTGAATGTTTTGCCCCTTATTCTAAGAGGGTAAATTGCCTAACTGCCTACATGTTATCCTACATGCTTTTACGAGAATTTGAACATGCATGTTATCGAAAACATTCTGGCTGATATGCTGTGTGTTCTTTCTTTCAGAACATTTTAAAGAAATAACCAATTAGGCTACACTGTAGCTTCTACATTCTAAATAAGCTACACAGTAAAGTGTTGTTGCTTTATTGGATTCATTGTGAACATGTCTCTATCAGTGAATAGAGAATTAGCTACAGTGCAACACTTCAATTTACCAGCGTTGACTCTTCATCCTCTGTTCCTGCCTTGACAATGTTTCACCTAAAACCGCAGCAATGAAGTAGATGGTAAAAGTTTTCACTGAATACCGCAGCCACCTTTACAATAAAAAAACTAGCTACATATTTCGCCATCTTGCAAACACTAGTTAGCGTCTTTCGTTTACTTGACAACCACCGCCGCCATTTTCAAACGGTAAAGGAAGTTGAAAATAAGATTTAACACTAATGTTTCACAAGGTGGCGCACCAAGCAAGCTAAATGTAAAATACTGACCCACCCGCATGCTCGCGCTTGTGCTGGTTTGGCACAGTGGCTGTGAGAAGAGGACGCTTGTGGCTACTTTGGATCTAGCTCTGGTCAAGGAGGGCTACTTTGTATCAGTGGTGAACAGAGCTCCCTTTAATGTTTCCAAATTTCGTTCATAGTTTATTTGAAAACATTATTTAGTCACTAAAAAATCTCTCAAAGTCTTTGGTGAGCTAAAATAACATTATTGTAAATACTTTTGGTGAAATAAGAAGAAAAACGTTTACTTGGGACGTTTCTCTATAATAAATGTATGGCCAAAGGCTTCTTACTGAAGTGAAAAGGAAATTCTGCAACTCCTTAGTCTCGTAATTCCCAATTCTAGTAGGGCTGGGAATTGCCAGGGACCTGAAGATATTGTAACGACCCGGTATTGTGTTCTGTGTTCGTGGGTGTGTTATCGTTCTCATGGGTGCTAGCAGGGGTTAAATATGCCAGGACAGATGGAAAGGTTGGGGGGGGGGGGGGTATGATGGGTAATTCCGCAGGGTTTTGGAATGCTTAAATAGGGGTTACGGTCTCATCTCTCTCTCTTCTGTTCGGGACCCTTAACTTGACATGTTATATTTGTGTACGTTCGAGGTTTAGCGGCGTGGGCTGTGGCCGGAACAATAGCCCATTCAGGAATAAACCTGTGTTCTGCCTGTACACCTGGTGCCCGTCTCCCTTTTACTTTATGACCCAGCTGGGTCATTACATTGGTGTCAGAAGTGCTTTCGAACGACGGGATAGATCGAGATTAGGCGAGTTAGCTGTTTCAGTAAAGGCCGTGGTTAGCTTTAGCGTGACTCGCATCTACGGTCATGATGATCGGGGGCGAGGCGGAAAATTAAGGAAGAGTCGGACAAAGTGTCCGTTGTGGGCTCGGGTGTACCTGGTCGGGAGGGTCAGGCGACGACGGCTGTAGAAGAGCTGGAGAGCCACATGGCGGAAGTTAAATTGTCAGTCAGCAAGATGGCAGAACGGGCGGGTTTTCCTTCAAACCGCTCGACCAGAACAGACGTCACGGCGACGGAGATATCGACGTCACCGCGTGCGGAAATGGCTGGGCCTCCTTATGTAAACAGAGATGGCAGCGCCCTATTGCCATTAGCCACGGTAGCGGCTAAACTTCCAAAGTTCAATGGACAAGGTAAATGGGAAGTTATTTTCACTCAATTCGAGTTGTTGGCTAGAGCCGGGAGGTGGTCTGACGAGACGAAAGGGTTACAGCTTGCCCTGAGCCTGGCAGAGGAGGCGTCGGAATGCCTGCTAACGCTAGCCCCGGACGAGAGGGGCGACTACGGTGCGCTAGTGGAGGCATTGGGGGGCTGAACTGAGTAACAAAAAGAGACTTCAGGGGGAATCATTAAAGGCGTTGGCAAGTGGTATTCTGAGCCTGACCAGGCGGGCTTATGCAACTATGCCGATTGGGGTGCAAGACGAGCTGGCACGGGACAGTTTTATTAGAGCGCTCTCCCCCACCGAACTGGGTAAGCATGTTCAGATGTCGGACCCAGCATCTCTGCGGGCTGCAGTGGAGATAGCCAGGAAGAGGGAGCTGATCTGGGGTGAGGGAGTGAGAGTAGAGGTTGCCAGTCAACCAGAGGTGAGAGCAGCGGCGGCCGGGGTGCCGGGGGTCACCAAACCAGAGTGGGTCGACGAGTTGGGCGGGTTAGTCAAGACCGCTTCGCTTGTCATTGAGAGGGGCTCCAGACAACATGGCAGTGTCAGCTCAACTCCCATTGTCTGCTGGGGTTGTGGCCAGCCTGGCCACATTCAGCGGGAGTGTGGCAGATTCTCCCGTCACCAGGGAAACGACAGCGGGTTCTCGCGCAGGGGGCAGCGCGGGCCCACCCCTCCGCCCCCGAACCCACAGTAAACAGACAAGAGTGTGGGGACCTGCTTCCCCAGGGTGTAGCTGCCACCGTGTTTCCTAGTCCGGTAGTTGAGGTGGGACGTACCACCATTGGGGACTTCTGCAATGTCATCGTCAAGGTAGAGGGGGTGGAATGTTTGGCCCTGGTCGACACGGGCTCTACAGTAACCCTGGTGAGACCAGACATACTACCTGTTGGGGTGCGGGTGGAGCCGACCCTTGTCCAGCTACGGACTGTCACGGGAGAGCTAGCCCCCATGTTAGGGAAGTGTCGGTTGTCTGTGACTGTGGGGGGGGAGAACTGTGGGGTGTCCGGTGTGGGTAGCAGCGGTACAGGACCCCTGTATACTGGGAATGGACTTTTTGAAAAACTGTGGGGCTCAGTTGGACTTAGCTTCAGGCACTTTGAGGCTGTCGGGGGGGCCCACAGTGGGAATGTCGCCTTCGGGAGGGCCAGCAGGGGGCAGGGCTGTCCCTCCGTCTTCCTCCAAGCTTGCCGAAACTCCACTGGTCGTCCCGGCTGCTCCCTTGGTCGTTGTGCCATCCCAGCAGCTGTCTCCGGCGGCAACAACCTTACTCCCCATAATGGTGCAAGCACAGGCAGCCCAGTAGCCCAAAACACACTGGCTCCTTCACCCCATCAGCCCGACGGGGGGAAGGAGGAAGTTATCGACGCCGTTGAGGCTGTGTGGCTGAAAAACTGTCAAGGTCTGGATGAGAGACAACAGAGACAGTTAAAGCAGCTGCTGTTTGACTTTAAAGATAACTTCGCTTGGGGGGAAGATCAGTTAGGGCAAACGCACCTGGTTCAGCACAACATCGACACTGGGGACAACCAACCCATAAAAATTCGGCCCCGTCGCATTCCCCTTGCCAAGAGGGAAGCAGCAGCCACAGCTATTGCTGACATGTTGCGGGCTGATTTCATTGAGCCGTCAGATAGCCCATGGTCCGCGCCGGTCGTCATGGTGCCTAAGAAAGGGGGTAAACTTAGGTTTTGTGCGGACTACAGGGGCCTAAATTCTGTCACCACTAAAGGCTCTTACCCCATACCGAGGATCGATGAGTCGCTATACCACGTCAGAGGGTCCTCGTGGTTCTCTTCCCTTGATCTGCGCAGTGGCTACTGGCAGGTGCCCCTCTCGCCTGGGGCACGTGAAAAAACGGCCTTCTCCACGGATAGGGGCCATTGGCAGTTCAAGGTGCTGTGCTTCGGGCTTTGTAATGCTCCTGCCACCTTTGAGAGGCTCATGGACAGAGTGCTGACGGGGGTTCAGAGAGACGAGTGTGTCGTGTACCTAGACGACATATTGGTGCACGGCACATCGTTTGAGGGGGCACTGGGGGCACTTAGGCGAGTGCTGGAGAGGATCTCGGGGGCGGGGCTAAAATTACACCCGGAAAAGTGCCATTTCATGCAAAGGGAGGTGGCGTTCCTGGGACATCAGCTGGGTGGTGAGGGCATCGGCACGATGCCAGACAAAGTGGAGGCTGTGAGGGGGTGGCCAGTTCCAAGGGGAAAAAAAGAGGTTAAGAGCTTCCTGGGTCTGGCATCCTACTATCGTAGGTTTGTGAAAGGGTTTGCGGGGATAGCAGCTCCTTTGAACCACCTTCTCAAGAAGGACACTGTTTTTCAGTGGACTGAAGAGCACCAGCGGGCGTTTGAGGCCCTCAAACTTGCCCTGGTGGAGGCCCCTGTCCTGTCCTCACCAGACCCGAACCGTCCGTTTATCCTGGACACCGACGCAAGCAATGAGGGCTTGGGGGCTGTGCTGGCTCAGCGTGGTTCTGACGGGGAGCACGTAGTAGCTTATTACAGCAGAACTTTTGATAAGGCTGAAAAACGCTACTGCGTGACAAGGAGAGACCTTTTGGCTGTCGTGGCAGCAGTACGCCATTTCAAGTACTACCTGGGGGGCCTGCCGTTTGTGGTGCGGACGGATCACTCCGCCCTGCAGTGGCTTCTCTCCTTCAAGGAGCCAGAGGGTCAGATTGCCCGCTGGTTGGAGGAGCTGCAACCCTACGACTTCCAGGTGGAGCACAGGGCCGGCCTTCGCCACAGCAATGCAGACGCCTTGTCCCGCCGCCCGTGTGCTGAGGACGGCTGTGGGTACTGCGCCAAACGGGTGGAGCGAGAGAGGGAACTGTGCATGGAGGAGGGAGTCACCACCATGGTGAGTCAGCTGAGGGTGACAGAGTGCCGGGAGCTTGAGGCTGTGGACGTCGGGGAGTGGAGGCGTCGCCAGGAGGAGGACGCAGAGCTGCGTCCTGTGCTGGGGTGGGTGGAAGAGAGAAGACGACCGCCGTGGGGGGAAGTAGCCCCTCTATCACCAGTCACCAAAGGACTGTGGGCTAAATTCTCAGTCCTTAGAGTGGCTGAGGGAGTGCTCCAGAGGGGGTGGAAAAAGCCAGCTACTGGAGAAATTACGTGGCAGGTAGTGGTTCCCAAAAGGCTGCAAGGGAGCGTGTTACAGCAGCTTCACGGGGGAGTAGGCGCAGGGCATTTTGGGGTCTCCAAAACGTTAAAGCGTGTACATAAAGGCTTCTATTGGGCCAGGCACAGGAGGGATGTGGAGGACTTTTGCAGGCAGTGCGACGAGTGTGCTGCTAAGAAAGGACCTCCAGGTCAGTCACACGCCCTCCTACAACAATTCCCAGTAGGGGAGCCCATGGAGAGACTGGGGGTAGACATAGTTGGACCGTTTCCAACCACAGACAGCGGTAACAGGTGGATTCTAACTGCTATGGACTACTTCACCAAGTGGCCAGAGGCTTACACTCTCCCAGACCAGGAGGCAGAAACAATAGCTGATGCGTTGGTAGGGGGAATAATCAGTTGGTTTGGGGTGCCACAGTCTATACACAGCGACCAGGGGAGAAACTTTGAGTCACGGGTGTTCTCAGAGTTGTGTAGACGGTTAGGCGCGGAGAAGCACTCCGCTTCACCCCCAGAGTGATGGGTAACAACAGCTGGCTATCGTTACCTCAAAACACCAGAGAGATTGGGACACCCACTTACCGTTTATTCTTATGGCATGTAGGTCGGCTGTTCAAGAATCGACTGCGTGCTTCCCAGCGCTACTAATGTTAGGTCGTGAGTTGCGCACCCCAGCCGAACT